GAAGAAGCTTCCCTTTCTTTTTTAATTGTGGTAAAATAGAAGATTTATTATTTTAACCCACTTTTTTTTTTAGTTATTGGGGTTTGAACTTAGGATTTCATATTTTCTAGGCAGGTGCTCTACCACTTGAGCCATGTTCTCAGATATTTTTGCTCTGCTTATTTTGGAGATGAGGGTCTCACTTTTTTTCCCTGTGCTGGTCTGGACCACAATCCTCTTATTTATGCTTTTCACACTAGCTGGGATGAGAAATGTACCCAGCGAGCCCAGCTTTTGGTTGAGATGGGGTCATGTGAACTTTTTGTCCACTTCGAACCACAATCCTCCTGATATTTGCCTCCCAAGTACCACTGGTGCCTGGCTGCCTCGACAGTTTACAACTCTTTTTTTTTTTTTGGTGGTACTGGAGTTTGAATTCAGGGCTTTGCCTTGCAAAGCAGGCACACTACTGCTTGAACCAAGGCCTCCAGTCCATTTTGCTTTGGTTATTTTGGAGATGGGGTCTTGTGAACTTGCCCAGACTGGCCTAAAATTGGCGATCCTTCTAATCTCAGCCTTCCAAGTAGCTAGGATTACAGGCAGGAGCCACAGTGCCCAGCTACAACCATTCTTAAGTATTCTGTTCAGTGGCAGTAGGCACATTCATAGTGCTGTGCAACCATCACCATCTTCCATCTACAGGACTTTCCCATCTCCCCAAACTGAAAGCCTCCGTGTTAATCACTAGCCCCTGCTCCACCCTCCCACTTTCTGTCTTTACATTTGACTGTCCTCCACACCCCGATTGTGCAGGTGGAGTCATCATGTTTGCTCTTCTGTGACTGCCATATTTCACTTAGCACATAGCTTCCAGGTCCAGGATTTTCTGGGCCGAAGCTTCTCCTGCTGGCTCATGGTCCCTATCAGAGGTGGCTCTGGCTTTTGTTCACTAAAATCCCTCACTCTGCACATTGGCCTTTTCTTTCCAGCCCTCCACCTTGGGCCATTTCCTTGGTGGCTCTGTCATTCCTGCCCAGGTCTGAGCCAGACAAAGCTAACCACATAGAACCATCTTTTTTTCTCTCATAAAGCACCACAACTTTCCTGGTGTGCTGCAGAATTGCTATTGGCTTGGGTGACATTGACACCTGCTGTACCCTAAAGCCTGAAGGCTTGTCGCCTCGGGCAGTGCTGGGGTGCTAGCCATCCTCGCCCTGGTCTTGTCACCTACCCAAATCATGCTCAGTGGTGTGTGTGTGTTCCTTGATCACTCTTGCCATGTGTGTGGACCTGACATTCTCCCTACTGTCACTGTAGGACAGTGTCTCTGGAAAGTGGCATCTTGTCACATGAGCCACAATGAGGGATGGTGCGCTGAGGGGCACCGATTTGTAGCCACATGGTTACACACCCATGATGACCTGATATAGTCCTGAGTGCTGGGACCCTTTAGGTTTACTGTGGGTGTACTTGGCCAGCCACTATGTCTCCCGCCCATCAAAAGTGTGAATATTTTCCATAATAAACAGGAAATTTCATTCACCTGTAAAAAATGAAGTTTGCTCCTTTTTTTTTTTGGACCCCAGCTTGAGATGTTGGCTAGGAACTAGACTTGTGGGTGGGGTAGGGCTTGGGGTCAGGGACTATGAGTCACAGTCTCCTCTAACTCCTTGCTCATTCCCATGGTCCCCCAACACTCAAGAGCAGAGGGAATGAGGCTTCATGGATAAGGCTTGGGAGGGTGACTTCAGCTTCCCAGGCCAAAGCCAACACAGCCAAACAAAGCCCACTGGGGCGCCCCTGTTCCCAGAAACTCAGTTTTGGCCTAGCTGCTGCTCCAGCTGTGCAGATTAGTTTCAACTTGAGGCCAGGCAGTTTGGGGAGGGGAGAAGTTGGGCCTCACTTTGCTGAGCGAGGAGCCTCGGAATCCCTGAGTCAGCATTCAGTGTTCTTTGAGGCTCACAGGGGCAGCCTGGCCCCAGCAGGCTCGGGGAACAGCTCCCTCATCCCTGCTTCCCTCCTGCTGCTCTCTTCCCCTTACTGGGTTCTGCTTACTTTTAACTCTGTGACCGTCTCCTCCCTGCTTTGAGCCAGCCATGTGGAGCCAGGGTGCCTCAGGGCCTTGTACTTTGGAACTGCAGCTGTGATGGTGGCTGTAAGCTGGCACGGGGTGACCTGGCACTTGCTTGGGGTGTTCCCACACCTGAGCACAGGGAGCCTCGGAGCTGCTACACTGCCCAACCAACCTTTGGCCGAAGTCCCAGGAGGCAAATGGGGGTTTCCCTACCCGACTGTAGCCCGAGGCCGTGTTTACAGCACACCCCCACCTGTGAAGACTCCTGACTTTCCAATCCAAACCCTGTCTCACTGCTGGACAGGAATGCTTTGCAGACTACAGTCCCTGTGCGAAGCCAGTGGAGTGGTGGGCACAGGATTTGCCTTGAATGTTGGTGACCTCTGAACCAGGCCGAATGTTTGTTATTCTTAGTACCTGACTAGTGATAGAGTTCCAGGCCACTCGGCCACTTGTTCCCATGGAGCCCTGTCATCCTCCTCACCTGGGCCATTCCATGCCATGACCTGTGCGGGCCTTTGCCTCATTTCATCCTGCCTGCAATGCTAGGAGGAGGAGTTGTTAGAATTGGATAGAGGGAGAAGGAAGAGAATTTGAGGTCACTGAGTCCGTGGCTAGAACTGGGAGTTGAGTGCAGAGCCATTTTATTTCAAAGCCTGTGTACTTTCTGGATGCTCTAGGTGAGGAGGGACCAGGCACTCTTGACTTCATCTGCCACCCACTGTGAAGCATGCTTGGCCCCCAAGGGCTGGCGGTGGAAAGGCTGTCTGACCAACCAGAGCTTCGCTTCTTGTCACCTGTTCTGCCTACCACCTTGGGAGCGTGGCTGGGGACTTGCTGTCAGCCTTAGAGGGCTTTGCATACATGCTGGGGAACAGCAAACGCCACCAGTTCAGTGGCCAGTGCTGCCCTTGCACACAACAGTGTGTTCAGGAGGCCTTCAGGAGAGGGCGGAGAGGACCATACTTCCCCAGTAATGGGGTGCTCTGGGCGCAGCATCTGGTCTTGTCCTTTGAGCTCCTCTCCCCCTACCACCTTTCTGTACCCTGCAGGGTGAAGAATGCTTGTCAGCCCGTCGTCGGGGTGCTGAGTGGCTTTCACGGGATGCTTGAGCAGACCATGGGAGCAAGAGTGCGCCTGGGCGGGCCAGCAGCTCCTTCTCAGAAGCTCCACAGCTTTCTGGGAAGAAGTTAGTGGTTCTTGAAGGACTGGCCTATATTTAGAATGGTCTAGACCCATGGATATTAGGTGGAAGACAAGGAGACGGAACCTGGGGACAAGGAGGCCTGCCCAGGTTCACCCAGAGATGAAATGGCACCTGAAGGGCTGCTCCTTACGCTCCCCAAAGACTCTAGGCTGTGCTTGCACATAGTTTTCCTATCTCTCCTTAGGACTCCTGAAAGGAATAGAGAATTTTCACTTCTGAGAACAGTGGAAGCATTTTGAAGAGGCACAGTTGTCACACAAATTAAAGCACTGTTACCAAGACCCCCAAATCATTGGCTTGAGTGAGAGAGCTGATAGTTTATTTGGAAAATAGCAGTCCTGGGCCATATCACATGGGCAGCCTCCTTTTTATTTTCTTTTATTTATTTGGCAGGACTGGGGTTTGAACTCAGGGCTTTGTACTTGCAAAGCAGGCACTCTACTGGGCCTTACCTGGGATAGGTTGAGCCACGCCTCGAGTCCATTTTGGTCTGGTTATTTTGGAGATGAGATCTTGTGAACTATTTACCTGGTCTGGCCTCAAATCTCAATCCTCTGATCTTAGCCTCCCAAGTAGGTAGGATTACAGGTGGGAGCCACCGGCACTCAGAAGGGCAACCATAACCTCTTTTCCCACCCTCTACCCTTAATGGAGTTTAAACTTAGGGCTTCACACTTGCTAGGTGAAGCTATACCACTTGAGCCATACCTCCAGCCCATGCAGCCTTCATCTTTGAACCCAAAGTGGCTTCTCCAGCTCCTACAATTACATCTGCATCCCAGTCCTCATGAAGAAAACCACCTTTTCTTATTCATATTGCAAAGGAGACAGAAAAGTGGTCTTAAGCTGAAAGCTATGAATCCAGCTAAAGCTAGATAGTTCTATTATTAGTGGAGCAAATTCCAGTTAGTCTCTGTCACAGATGGCACAGATCACTGTAATTGGTTAGTCTTGATTGGGCCTTACCTGAGATGGGAAGCAGGATAGAATAGGGGTGAGGGATAGAGTCTGTCCAGTTCAGCTACTGCATTTTGTAGAAGCATTTAACACTTACAAAGGAGAAGTGGTTTTGTGGTACTCTGAGGGCTCGTTGTAGAGCAGAGGTCAGCAGACCCTTTCTGGAAGGCTTTGCAGACCTTAGGGTTTCTGTTGCAGCAACTGAACTCTGCTGTTAGGAACAAAAAGAGTGGCCATAGACATACAAATGATTGTGACAGTGTTTCAATAAAACTTTATTCACATAAGTGGTTGGTGGGCCAGCTTAGGTCCCCAAGCTGTAGTTTACCAACCCCTGTTGTAGCAAATGGATGAGCCTCTTGCACAGGAAACCAGGCCTGTAAGCCCTAGACAGACAGGTGGCACCTGCAGTTATGAGTACTGTTATTTACTGTCACCGCTTCCAAGGTACACAGCTGGCAGGTGACAGCACCCAAGTCCATCTCTGCCTGCCTTACTGTGCTGAGCCATGTCACTGGGTCTCTACATCTTGCTGTCCTGTGGTCTGGGTCAGAATGTGAGCTTAGCGCTTGCTTTACATGAGTGACTGCATGCCCTTCTCCGAGTGGTGTAGAAATGGAGACTCTGTGATCCTGCCTTATGCTGCTGTGCTGTTGAGATGAGAGCATTCTGGGAATTTAAAAACCCACCGCAGACACAGAAATTCCAGGCCAAGTTAGAGGTAAGAGCTACCAGAGCGGCCTGGGCCTTGGTGTCCTGAGCTCACCCTCTCTTCCTCCTCAGGTTACGACTTTGCAGCTGTCCTCGAGTGGTTCGCCGAGCGGGTGGACCGCATCATCCTGCTCTTCGATGCCCACAAGCTGGACATCTCCGATGAGTTCTCAGAAGTCATCAAAGCCCTGAAGAACCACGAGGACAAGATCCGCGTGGTGCTGAACAAGGCTGACCAGATTGAGACGCAGCAGCTGATGCGGGTGTATGGGGCGCTCATGTGGTCTCTGGGGAAGATCATCAACACCCCAGAGGTGGTCCGCGTCTACATTGGCTCCTTCTGGTCCCACCCACTGCTCATCCCCGACAACCGGAAGCTCTTTGAGGCCGAGGAGCAGGACCTCTTCAAAGACATCCAGTCTCTCCCCCGAAATGCCGCCCTTAGGAAGCTAAACGACCTTATCAAGCGGGCCAGGCTGGCCAAGGTAGACCCCGGGAGGGGATCAGCTGCTGCTGGGCCGGGCCCACGGGCTCTGAGACTGGCACCTGGGACTGGGCTGGACAAGACTCTCCCCTGCCTCTGTTGCTTTGTGCGTGATTGGAAACCACACTCCATGTGCCCCACACTGCAGCCTACTCTTACCCAGAGTTCTTCACCTGGCTACCCGGGGCTTGTGCCCTACCTAGGTCAGAGGAGGCTCTAAATGAGCGTACTGTTTAGAAATGCAACTCAGGAAGTTAGCACAGAAAAAAGGAGGCAGCCCCGGAAGTGGGGCACTTGACTTCCCCTCTGAGGTTTATTGTGCACAGAAGTAATGCTCAGCACAGTGCTGGATGCTGGGGACATGGAGGGGTAGGTGCCACACCAGTCCCCATTCCAGCACTGCTCAGCCTTTGTGGAGAAAACTTAAGCATCAGTATAGATTATTTGGTGTTGTGGGACAGGCATAGGTGCTGCGGGAGCCAAGAGCTAGGAAATGAAGGCCAGTGCCACCAGTGGGCCCTGGGAGTGTGTGTCCCTTAGGATATCGACTGCATAGCCGTATCCTATGCTGACCCAGTTAAGCCGTTGGGAGGAATCAACCTAGTACTGGCTGAGGTGGACACTTTCACCAGGGGGCTTGACGCAGACTGAATGACTGAGTGATGGTCAAGTCCAGATGCTTGTGTGCTAGCAGGGTGCCCAGCTGCTCCTTCAGACACTTGCCACAGGGTTCACTTGTTTCAAAAACAGGCTCTGACAAAAAAGTAAAGAAAAGAAAAACAGGGTCTAAGCCAAGTGCTGGTGGCTTACGTCTGTAGTCCTAGCTACTCAGGAGGCAGAGATCAGGAGGATCATGGTTCAAAGTCAGCCCAGGCAGATAGTTTGAGACCCTGTCTCAAAAATACCCAACACAGGTAGCAAGCACAAAGCCCTGAGTTCAAATCCTGATACCACCAAAATAAAAATAAAATGTTAGCAAATCAAACCCAAGGTTAAAAAAAAAAAATACCCAACACAAAACAGGGCTAATGGAGCTGCTCAAGCGGTAGTGTGCCTGCCTAGCAAGTGTGAGGCTCTGAGTTCAAACCCCAGTACTGCTCTCGTTTGCTATTTGGGAGGCTGAGGCTGAGGCAGAAGGATTTCTTGAGCTATGGTTCCAGACTCACCTGGGCAGTATAGCAAGACCACCATCTCAAAACACAAAACAAAAAAAATAGGTGCTGACCACAGCTCCCCCTTAGATAGGTCAGAGGTCTGCGTGAGAATCGCCCTGTGAACTGAGCTCAGGCCCAGGCCAGGCCTTGTGTCACCTGTTTCGCCTGTGAGATGGTGCAAAGGGCTGGGTGTTCACAGCTGCCTGGGGCATACCAAGGAGGCAGCGCAGGCACTGTGCAGGTGTCATAGCTGTCCCTGTGGCCAGAGCTCCCATGTTACCCTGAGGACTGAGGGAGGCCCTTCCTGAAGAGCCTGCTCCTAGTGGCCAGACAGCAAGGCCCCAGGCACCCCATGCTGCCTCAAGGCTCAGGCAACAAGAGCTGACCTCCCATCCTTTGCACTGCTGAGGCTCTATCCTTGTCCCTGAGTGCTCGCGACTGACAGCTTGTTGGAACTGCAGGGTCTTAGCACTTCCCACCAAGCCCTGTGGTGTACCAGAGGGTCAGACTGCTGCTCCACAGGCGCAGGGCAGTGCCTTCTAGATTTCTAGGATGACCTGCAAGTGGAGGCAGTTCTGAAAAAGGGATCATGAGAAAGCCCACGTGACTGGCCAAGGGCCTCAAAGGACTGGAACAGCTTCTGCAAAGGGGCTGCCTGGACTCTGTGCCACTCAGTCTCCTTCCAGGAGGGGCCGAACACAGGGCAGTCTCGGACTCCCTTCTGTCAGAGATCGTGTAAAACTGTCTGGGCCTCTGGCACATTGAGTCACCACTCCTGGAAAGCCCTGTGGTCTCCAGTTTTGCCCCACATCTACTGTTTTGCATCTGCCTTTGTCCTTTTCCTGGAGTGAGTGACACACACTGGCCTGTGCCATACAGAGCAGCAACTGTGGCTCTCTGACCTGTCTGCCACAGCATCCCTGGGAAATCTAGATGGGAGCTGGGGTGGGGGCGAGGGGAACAGGGACTACTCACTCCCCTCTGGCAGTTTAGGGTCAGGCTGTCACCTGGGCTGAATAGGGGACATTAGATGGGTGGGCCTGGCTGTGGGGAGGAGGAGGGGAGGCTGGCTGGCAGCCTTCTGAGGCTGTATATGACTTGGCAGGACAGAGGGATTTGAGGGTTGGGCTACTTCTAAATGTCAGTGTTACCTGCCTGCTGAGGGAAAATGAAGGGTGTGCACCCTTGATGAGAAATGTCTAAGGGCACTGAAGCTCGTGTAGATCCCTTTGTGGGATGATCTAACCCTGTCACCTGAGGCTGTCCTGGTGATGTGTGGAGCATAGCTCAGGTCGGGTCTGGAGCCTGGGGACGTGCTGAGCACTCTGCAGATCTGTGTCTGCAGGAAGCGTGTTGCCTGCCTGTGGGAGGAAGGGTCTGGGAGGGGGCCACAGAAACAGAACGGGCTGCGGAGCTGGCAGTCCCCAGTGCATCCAGGCCCCTGTGCTTTGTTGCTGAGTCCCTGGGCAGCCTTTGGCTTTCCCCAGGCCAGGCTGAGTTCTACTTGTAGCTAGAGCAGGTGAGGACTTTGTGTGGGGGGGGGGCGGTGCTCAGCAAGTAGTCTTCTCTTGTAGACAGTCTGGGTTTGCTATCTACATCATCTGCATGACTTGTGCAAGGACATTGCCTGTCTTCTGTTTCAAGTATGCTTGCCTTTTCTCCATCCCCGGGTCAGTGAAGTGTTGCACCCATTGCCAGAATTGTGTGTCACTCTTAGGCCAGTGCTATCCTGTGATGGCAGCAGCAGCTTTGAGCTTGACCCTGGCCCTTCTGCTTCCCTGTGCCTAGGCAATAAGCCTCAGATACCTGGCAGCATCCTTGAAGGCCCTGGGGCAGCCAGGATGCATGCCAAGCAGACTTGACACCCACCTCTCCTTTCCCCACAGGTCCATGCCTACATCATCAGCTCCCTCAAGAAGGAGATGCCCAATGTGTTTGGTAAAGAGAGCAAAAAGAAAGAGCTGGTGAACAACCTGGGCGAGATCTACCAGAAGATCGAGCGGGAGCATCAGATCTCCCCAGGTGACTTCCCAAGCCTCCGCAAGATGCAGGTACGGCCACCCTGGGTCCTTGCTGAGTCCTCCATGTGGATCTCTGGCCCTTGGGGAGTAAGAAAGACCCCAGGCAAGGACAGTGGTTCTGGAGGGAATCCCAGCTCTTAGGGGGGTAGGGGCTTCCCAAACGGAAACAGCTGGATGAGTCACCAGCACCCCACCCAAATCAGAGTTGACCCAGTCTGTGACAACAAGAAGGAGAATGTGGTGACTCAGTTGGGGGTCGGGAGATGGGGCAGGGCTGGGCCAGGCCCTCTGCCTGTCCTGTTGGTGAATCCTTGCCCATAGTCTTGCAAGGAAGGTGATTTTGTGGCTCCCTGAGCACAGGGGGAGGAGCTTAGGCCCCTGGGGCTAACTCTCTGCCTGTGCAGCTTGGTTTGCCCACTGGGCCTGGGTAGGCCACTCCAGCCAGGCCTCTCCTTCTCCACCCACAGGAACTCCTGCAGACCCAAGATTTCAGCAAGTTCCAGGCCTTGAAGCCCAAGCTGCTGGACACAGTGGATGACATGCTGGCCAACGACATTGCCCGCCTGATGGTGATGGTGCGCCAGGAGGAGTCCCTGATGCCCTCACAGGCCGTGAAGGGCGGTGCCTTCGATGGCACCATGAATGGGCCCTTCGGGCATGGCTACGGTGAGGGGGCTGGCGAGGGCATCGATGATGTCGAGTGGGTAGTAGGCAAGGACAAGCCCACCTACGATGAGATCTTCTACACACTGTCACCTGTCAATGGCAAGATCACAGGCGCCAATGCCAAAAAAGAGATGGTGAAGTCCAAACTGCCCAACACAGTGCTGGGGAAGATCTGGAAGCTAGCCGATGTGGACAAGGATGGGCTGCTGGATGATGAGGAGTTCGCCTTGGCCAATCACCTCATCAAGGTCAAACTGGAGGGCCATGAGCTTCCTGCCGACCTGCCCCCACACCTCATCCCGCCCTCCAAGCGGAGGCATGAGTGACAGCCATGTCCCAACCACCCAGGGCCACCCATACTTCCCACCTGCCATTTCCATGCCTGCCCAGGTGCACCAGGGCCTGGGAGGCAGAAATTGGGGGTGGGGAAAGGGTCACCACTTTTCAAGGTCCATAAAGACTGAGCAGTGTTTCCTCAGCTCTCGAATAGGAAAACCACCATCTTTCTTTTAAGGCTGTTCCGGGGCCCAGTGGGAGGCAGGGGTGCTGCTTAGATGTGAATGATGGAATTTTATGCACAAGAACTATGGATATTTTTAATATATTACGTTAGAGGCAACTTTCCTTTCTTGCCTCCTCTGTCCGACAGCCCCATGCACACATAGCCTGTCTCCTGTCCTAGCCTTTCTTCCTGCCTGGCCAGGCACATGGAGTGAATGTGACCCCAGGGATCCAGCTCTGCTGGCCCACTCTGCCTCGCCCCTCCTGGCAGCTACCACTCACAGAGCGACTGTAGAGAGGAGGAGAGCTTCTAGTCTATTTCCAAACCGAGGCTCACTTCATGGGGCATTGGCTTCCTTCCCACCACCTCTGCCCCCCGTGTTCCAGGGGGCCAGTTCTGTGCCTCCACTTGCTGTCCAGGCCCCCGGTACACGCACCCTTTTCCTCCCACACCTCCAACTCCCAACACCTCACCCTGTGGCAGTCACAGGCACAAGACCTGGCCACTGTTGTCCTTTTGGAGGGCTATAGGAAGGTGTGAGAGAACATCTTCCACAAAAATATATAAGCTAGGTCTTGTTCGGTAAAGTGGCACTTTTCATACTTGACTGAATTTTCCAGTAACTCAGACCACTGTTCAAAAGCTGTGATTCTTGTCTCGCTTTCCCCACACACGAGCCTGGGGGCAGCTCTTCCCAGGAACTGTTAGATGGGACAGGCAGGGAGTACATCCCTTGGCCTAGGTGAGGCAGGGCCTGGCTCCTGCCTGAAGGTATCTGAACTGTACCCCACACTTCATCCTCTCACTTCACTGCAGCTTCCTGGTGGTGCTCCTGCCTTGGGGAGGGGGTGTTTTCCATGACCTGGGGTGTTTTGGTGCTGGGAAGGGGAAGCCTGAAGCTCTGGCCTGGGCCTAGTATCTAAACAGCAGGGGCAGGGAAAAACCCAGCCTCTTCCCTCTTCTCTCCCCATTTCCTTCCTTCCCTCTTGTCACCTGCACAGAACCTGGATGTCCTTAGATCTGCCCCTCACCCCCAGACTGGGCAATTAAAAGCCAGAGCCAATGAGTGGCTACTGCACAGCCTCCGGGGGTTTAGGGACCTGAATATACTCACTGGCCAGTGGTCAACTGTCAGGGAAGGTACTGGGCACTCTGGGTGGACATCAGGGAGCTTACCGGCCCGCCCCCAGTGCTGCTTTCCACATTGCTGGGGTTCAGTGCTGAGCTCTCCCTCCCCAGCAGTGTTAGGGACGATGGGGGAGTGCAGCCTCATCAGTTCACTGATGAAGGTGTGAAGGTGTAGCAGCAGCTTGCTCATACTCACCTGTGGGGAAGTGACCGAGACTGAGGACTGTTGCTTATATTAAAGAGTTTTAATTGTGCTGAAGCTGGCTCCTGGTGCTCCGTTGTCTTTTCCAGGGCCAAGACCCCAGATCCTACCCCGGGGAGCTCGTGAGGTATTGGCACAGAGTTTGGGGGGACCAAGATGCCAGCATGGCAGAGTGGCTGCCCCTGCCCAGTCACATTCAGCTGCACAGCACCTGCAGATGGGGGCAGGGAGAAGCGGTTCCCTGGGGAGCTGATGACCCCTTATGCTAGGTGGGGAGCTAAGCAAGAGTAAATATGGGCAGCTGAGCATGCTGGTATAATTCTGTGACCTCAGCTGCTCTGGAGGCAGGAGGATCATGAATAGGAGGAAAAGGTAGTGACACCCTATCTCAAAAACAAAATGTAGGTTGTTCTCGACCTCCCTTTTTGAAACCACCCACTTTCACCCCTGAAGGTGTCTCTGTTCTAATAAACTTTACTAGTGTGTTCTTGCCCTAGACATGGCCTGCTTTCAGTCCATTGAAAGTGTATTCCTTTCCTAATAAACTTTGCTGTCACTTTCACTACAAAAAAAAAATTAAAATACTCAAAAGACAAAAGATCAGTAGGATCTCCATTTGAAGCCAGCCCGGGCAAATACTTAAGAGTCCCTATCTCAAAAAATACCCAACACAATACAGGGCTGGTAAGTGGCTCAAGTGGCACCTGCTTTGCAAGTGTGAGGCCCTGAGTTCAAAGTGATAGAGTGCTTGCCTATCATGCTTGAGGCCCTGGGTTCAATCTCTAGTACCCTAATCAGGAGAAAAAAAAAAAAATGGGGTTGGAGGGAGGCAGTGGCAGAGAAGCTCTGATAAACATGACTGACTGGGCAGGCACCCCTGCCATCTCAGCATCACCTCCACCCCAGGCCCCACCTTGGCCATGGACAGACAAGGGGGCGCCCGCAGAGGAGTTTCATAAACACTGGGTCTGGGCTCCAGAGCCAGCCAGGCTCCACACTTGCCCAGAGGGGGGAGTTGAAGACAGACAAGGCAGATGCTGGTGACAAAATCCAGTTATTGGGTGGGGCCGGTCAAGGCCAGCTGAGATAGGGAACCTGTTTACACAGCAGAGGGAAGGGTGACAAATTGGGAGTGCAGACTGGAGGTGCAACAGGAGAGACTGCCCCAAGCAAATGTAGCAGAAGACAGGGTGTAAACAAGTACTTTATCTCAAGGGTTTGGTGACCCTGTGCTGTGCTCTGGGGCCCAGCAGCTGTGGCCGTGTCCGGCCTGTTGGGCAGTATCTGCTGAGTCAAAGCGCTGCAAGCTTGCCTCTGCCTCCTGTGTGGGTTCACCTTGTGCCAGATTTGCCTGAGCCCTCAGGCCCAGTTTAGGGCTGCGTTTACCCCATTTCACAGTGGAAGAGTCTGTTGCAAATAGCAATGGTAGCAAACCAGATTCAAACATGGGTCTATCTACCTTGTCTAATCTCCACAGCGTTTCTCATCAAAAGCACCTTTTAAGAGGAAAACAAATACCTGTAATCCTAGCTACTCAGGAGACAGAAATCAGGATCTCAGAGCCTGAGGAAATAATTTGACCCAAGATGTATGTAGGCCCTGAGCTAAAAAAAAAAAAAAAAAAGTTCCAATCCTGTCACTCTTTCCTATGGCCTTGGAAACTTGTGGGGCTACCCATCGGCTTGCAGGGTCACCAAAACAGCTATCCTGTACATGCTCAAGCTGTCAGAGAACCAAAGACGACAGACCCAAGAAGCCACCTTCAGTGGGGGCGTTCTACCCGTGGGGCCCTGAGGCACACTGTCCACTCTGAGCACGTACCCCTAGTGGGGGTAAGCTCCCAGCGACTACCCACCCAGGCAGTGCCTGCTGAATAAAGGTTTGAAGGAAAGACAAAGCAGGCGTCTGCCCCCCACCTCACTGCTATCCCCCTGGCTGGACTCAGATAGCTGGTTTAGGTTTCACATTTTTGGGCCATGATGGAGGATTGAGGAGTGCTAGTGGAGGTGGATAAAGGTGGCTGCCCGCTTGGAGGACTAGCTGCTGCCCCTTGCCTCCTTCCCAATTACTGTAAGAAAATCCTCTCCACCCTACTCCCAGAACCCTGGAATAAAAGAGGCCTTCAGGGCCATCTGTCCATCCCCCTCCCCACTCCACCCCCATCTTACCACAGCATCTCACAGCCCAGGCCGAGGAGGAGGCAAAGCCCCTTCCCACCGCCTCAGCCCACATGCCCGCCGTTTGCTAAAGGTTTCTTGTACAATCTCCACTCAGAACAAATATTTCTCCTGCTCCTTGGAACACAAAGAAGCTAACATCCACCTCAGGGCCCGTTCTTATCACAATCAGGCTAGTCATAGGACTTGCCCAAGGCCAGCAGGCTGGTGAGAGGACAGCCAGCCACCACTCCCGCCCTCTGCCTTCAAAGTCACCAGCTTGGGGCTGGGGGTGTAGCACAGTGGTACAGCGCTTGCCTAGCGAGTTCCCTGGGTCGCCAGCTGGAGCAGCCTACAAGGGCAGCGCTGAGCAGACAGTCCCCCAGAGTCTCAGCTCCACGACTTGCTGGCATCCAGCCAGGGCTTTCACCCCTGAGCCTGTGTCCTCAAGCCCCAAAGCCTTCCAGAGGTAGGTCCCCAAGGATGTCCACCTTCACTGACCTCCTTTGGTAAGCACCTGGGGGTGGCCAGACAGAGAAGGGGGTAAAGGACGGGAGTAAGGAGGTCAGCGCCCCACCCAACCCCCAGAACAAAGCAGGGGGATCCACCCTTCCCTGAAGCAGCTCACAGACTTGGTGGCGCCCAGGGGCCGGAGGGGTGGTGGCTGAGGGGGGCTCAGCCCAGCTTCCTCTGCACTCAGAGGGACTAATTGATTGCAAAACCACATGGAGCTAAAGCTGAGCAGAGCAGAGCATAAAAGCCCCTATGGTGAACTGGAGCGGCACAGGGGAGGTTTTTGGAAGAAAACCCCGATGACGAATCCACCATCTGTCCACCCATTTGGAGCGTTGGAAGTTTCAAAGGACACACTCGTGGTGGGCTTGTGTGTGTGTGTGGGGGTGAACAGTGGCAGGGGTGGGGGTCTGGCAAAGGCTAGGGTGTGGAGGGGTCCTTAACCTGGACCTCTCTATCAGCCCCTCCCCCAAACACCCTTAAACCAAATCCAGGGTCCTGGGCAGCAACCACATGGTCACCTACTCTTCCTAAAAAGAAGGGCTGGTGGAATGGCTCAAGAAGTAGAATGCCTGCCTAGCAAGCACACGTGAGACCCTGAGTTCAAACCCCAGTGCCGCCAAAAAACAAAAACACTCTTCCTAGAAAGAAATGTTAGGAGGGCCAGTGATAGCAACACCGTGTACCTGATCTTTCCCTCATACCTGAGCAGGTACAGAGCTTCCTTATACACAAAAAAGTAGTATCCAGAGAGACAGGAAGGGACCTGCCCAAGGCCACACACCTGGGCCACAGCAGGCAGGCCTGTAGCGTCCCTGCAGCCAGCCTCCTGTTTCCTGACTCCCAGGGGTAGAATTTAGCTCAGGGCAGGGCAGTCATTCTTGTTAGCGGGGCAGTGATTAGAGATGCTTCTGAGGCCAGGGCTGGAACACTCACCCAGCCACCCACTGGAAGCCAAGTCTCTGAACCTTAGAAGGAGAAGCCCAGACCTGGGTGGGCTCAGGAAGCCTAAGATGTGGCGATGGAGGTTATGGACCCCGAAACCCATCTGGCATCTGGGCTCTCAGCTGCTCCCTGCCCCAAGTACTCTCCCCCTCTCTGGGTTTCTCCCATCTTCTGAATCTTCGCTGCCTCTCCTGCTAGGCCTGGGGCTCCGACTTGACAACTTCTTCTCCATCCAAGGCCCTTCACAGAAGCCTATGCCAAGTTCACTGAAGTCCGGCCTTTCCTTGTCCTCAGTCCCCAGCATCTGGGTGCCGCATGGTACCCTACTGCTGCCAGATACTGACGTGGTCCAGGAGCCCAGGGACTCAAGCAGGGTGTAGACTAAGGGAGGTGTCAGAGCTGGCACCCCACTGCCTCCTCACCTCCTGTATTGATCTGCAAAGGAAGGGTAGCAATAACCGTCCCAGCAGGGCTCTTGTGGAGATAAGCAATCTGGAGTCACTTTGAAATGCCAAGAAACACCTAAGAATGCAAAGTGTTCATCATGGCCTCTTGCCCAGCACTGGTGTCAGCACCCCTTACCAAAGGGCTTGGGAGATGAGCTGGGATTTGGGCGGTAGCAGGTCCCTCCTGCAGACCTGGGTGAACCTCCGAGAAGCAGTGACCCGGGGAGGCCTTCAAATGGTGCTGTGGGAAGAGCGAAGAGAAAGGCAGTGGTGCCTGGTGCCAGTTACTGGTGGCTCACACCTGTAATCCTAGCTACTCGGGAGGCAGAGATCAGGAGGTTTGGGGATTGAGGCCATCCAGGGCAAATAGTTTGTGAGACCCTATTTCAAAAGTACTTACATGCAGGGCACGGGTGGCACACGCCTGTAATCCTAGCGACTCAGGAAGCAGAGATCAAGAGGATTGTAGGTTTGAAGCCAGCCTGAAGCAAATAGTTCACAAGACCATATCCTGAAAAAAACCAAGACAAAACAGGCTGTTGGAGTGGCTCAAATGACTGTGCACCTACCTAGCAAGCCTAGCAAGCATGAGGCCCCGACTTCAAACCCCAGAACCACCTGGTGCTGGTGGCTCACACCTGTAATCCTAGCTAGTCAGGAGGCAGAGATCAGGAGGATAGTGATTTGCAGTCAGCCCCTGGCATTGTTCATGAGCCCCTATCTCAAAAATACCCATCATTAAAAAGGGCTGGAGGAATGGCTCCTAGCAAGCATAAGCCCCCAAGTTCAAACTCCAGTACTGCCAAAAAGAAAGAAAACAGAGCTGCTAGGACAAATAACAAATGCAGACCATATTTAGGAACTGGAGGCCTGGCCACATGAAGTTGGAACAGCGTCAGCAGGAAGCTTGAACCCCTTTTACAGGCAAGGAAAGAGGCTTGCAAAAATGACAGGAAAAAAACTGACCAAAAAGAATTGAGTGAGTGCCTGCGTCTCCTCCGGTCTCTGGCGCCCTCCTGTGGCTCCTTCTTGCCTCGTGAGCCCCACCATGGTCCCGCCTCGCCAAGAAGGGACCAAACTCCCTCAGGTGAGAGCCAGGAGGCCCTCATCAGACCCTTCAAACTCCTGCCTCTCGCCCTCCCGGCAGAACCAGAGGGAGTGACGAGAATCCTCACTTTTGGGTTTGAATCCTTCCCGGTCGGCGACGAGAAATACACACCACTCTCTCCCCATTTCGGATTGTGAGCGCTACTGGGCCGGGTCTCCACGGAGCTCAAATGGGAGACCCTGACCCTGTCCCAGCTCGAGGAATTCTTCGTCTGAGCCGGGAGGCAAACCTCCAAATAGATCTTATAACGAAAGTATGTGTAGTCTGAAGCCATTAAAATGCCCCTCCCTGCCGGCGCCGGTGGCTCCCGCCTGTAATCCTAGCTCCTTGGGAGGTAGAGATCAGGAAGGTCGCAGTTCGAAGCCAGCCCGGGCAAATAGTTTGCGAGACCCTGTCTCGAAAAATCCATCCCAAAAAGTGGCTGACAGAGTAACTCAAGTTGTAAGAGCTACTGCGCAGCAAGTGCGAGGCCCTGAGTTCAAACCCCCGTTCCGTCAAAAAAAAAAAAAAAAAAAAGCCCCTCCCTTTCATCTCTTGTTTTTTGGATGGACAAACAGTCCTATGGCGTCGGGTCCAGCCCAGCTGGACACAGCCGGGCAGAAACCAGAAATACCCGTGCACAGTTTAGTCTCTCCCCTCCTCTAGCATTCTCCAGATCATCTCATACCTCTCAAATCTTAAAAGTCTGTGATGAGTACCAGCCCAGCTCGCTTCAATTCACTTTTGTCCTCTCAAGCCTCAGTGTGCCTATCTGCTAAATGGGTGTGCCCATCCCTACCCCACCTGTCTCCCACATTAGCACTAACGATACAAAAACCGAAATCAGAAACTTTTTTAAGGGGGGGCGGGCGGTAATGCTGCCAAGCGCGGCGGGCCGACGAGGGAGAAAGCAAACTACAATTCCCATCCGGCTCCGGGGCCGCGGTCGTCCCCAGCCCCTCTCCCTGGTCCAAGGGACTAGCGGACGCGGGAGAGTTATAGTTCCCTGGGCTTGCCTACCTAGGTTAGGGCTAGGTGAGGGCCCGGGCAGGGCTGGAACTGGGGCTGCGCAGATCTGGCCAGTCTTTTGCAATCCCAAAGGAATCCCACCCCCCCACCCAACCCTGGCCCGCCCCGCCCCGCCCCGCCCGCCCCGCCCAGGAGTTACTCTTTGCGGCCCGCCCACCCACTTCCTGGCCGGGAGTTGGCCCCGCCCCCGCGCGCCTCCGCCCTCCCACCTTCACCTCCAACCGCGGCTCCTATTGGCTAGCGCGCACCTGCCCGTCCGTCGGGGGGCGGGGTGGAGGGCGGGGCGCGGCGTCCAGGTGAGGGCGCGCAGGCGGCGGCGGAGGAAGGTGACAGCGGGGAGGGCGGGAGGGTGGGGGGAGGCTACACGAACGACACCGCGGAATCACGGACGGTCGGAAGGACAGACCGACAGGAGGGCATGCAGGCGGCCAGGCTCTAGCCCGGGCGTGGGGCTCCGGCCGCAGCCATGGAGCAGCGGCTACGCGCGCTGGAGCAGCTGGTGCGGAATGAGGCCGGCGGTGGCCCGGGACTCGACGGCCTCTTGGATCTGCTGCTGGGGCTGTACCACGAACTCAGCAGCGCCCCCCTGCGCCGGGAGCGCAACGTGGCGCAGTTTCTGAGCTGGGGTGAGTGGAGTGGGGCCCTAGGGACACCGCGCCGGGACCCCTGCGCGCCCCCTCCCAGACCTTCCTACAAGGACGCGCATCCCAGAGACTTCCCTCAAAGACACCCTCCATCCCTTGGCTTTAACACGTGCCACCGGACCCCTCAACCCGCTCACTTACCTGCAGTCTCACACTCATACTCGCTCCTTCCCCCTCCCAGACCCCAGGACACGTACACAACTTAAAACTCACACAGACACACACAAACTTGTACCCAATACACGTCCTCTACATCACATACAGGATTTCTTCGTCAAATCCCATGCCCCATGCAGGGCACAGTCACACACAGACTCTCATGCCATCGCACAAACACAGGCTTTCTCAGTCTCCTTCATTCCTCATGGACACACAGAGACACATAGCTCAAGAAGGGACTCAGGGAGCCCTCCACTTTGCCCTGAAGACCACAGGACCCCTCCAGCTCTGATACTCAGATCCATCGGTACTGCACAATTCATTTGCAGACACCCCCAACCCCTTGCCCAAATCCACTGCAGCTGGAACTCAGAGCCAACTTCAGCCTCTTTGTAAAGCTGTTGGTGGGCTGTTCCCCCAGGGCCAGGGAGGGGGACTTGGCTAGAGGTGGGTCTGCACCCTTTCCTGGTTGACTCATCTGAATCATTGGGAGTGGCTGGTCCCGGGTGACCCTGAACCTGGTGTGGGCACTGGCACCAGTCTGAGGGTTCCCTGGTCACACCTGAACAGGCCGTGGGGGGAGGGCATGGAGATTGGGCCTGGAGGGTGGGGTGAGGTGGGGTGTTTGCCCAGTGGGCGACTAGCGTTCCTGACGCTCCTGAGCTGAGCTGTGGGCAGGCACACGCTCAGTCTGGCACAGATGGGGGCCTGCCACGCACGCGTGTTAACTTCTGTTTGGGCACTGCCCCTGCTGTCTGTTTCCCTTGGACTCCTGCATGTTACTTGTGCATGTCTGGCTGTGTTGTCATCACCCCCGTGACACCCACACCCACGTGTGTGTGTTTGCACACATATATGTGCTCCTCCCTGCCTGCCTCTGGCACCTCTACCTGGGACCCCAGCATTGGGGCCATCTGTTGACATCTCCCGAGGTAACTCCAAGGGCGTGACTCACTACTTTCCTGCCCAAACTTGTCCCTGCTCCTGCTGAGAGCCCCCATCCCCTGTGGCAAGCCAGGGGGACTGGGCATCCTGTTCTGAGGGCCTGGATCCTCTTGATTCTTTGGCCCATCTGGCTGGTGGGTCACTGCTCTGGCCTCAGTTCCCTCTTGGAGGCCTGTGGCTGCTCCTCCCCAGCTCCATATGCAGACCTGGGAAAGAGACAATTAATTTCTGTAACGAGGTTTCCACACCACCCCCGCTGCGGGGGTTCTGCCTGATAAACCTGTGGAGCAGCTCTCTGTCCCACCCACAGGCCCGCCCAGCTGGCAAGGAGGTTACCTCCTGGCAGGGGGAAACTGAGGCAAAGAGCCAGACCACAGCTGCCCCCAATCCTGACTGGTCACTACTGCATCCCTCAGTTCCCAAGACCTGACTCCGTCCCCCTTGCCTGTGGCTACTCCAAGCCTGGAGAGAGCCCAGGAGTGGCTGGGGATGCCCCTTGTGGAGGAATGGGGACTGTGACACAGGAGGCTCTTGGCCAGAGAGGGAGGCAGGGCTCAGGGTGGCAGGACTGTCACCCTAGAGAGGATCCTGAGTGCTCAGCCCTCAGGTTCTGGCACTGGGCACCAGGTAGAGGATTTGGTTCTGTTTTTGAGTCTTGTGAGCACTTGGACAGACTGGTATCTATGCCTTCAGACCCAGGGGCCCCACCTGAAGAGCACAGAGCCCAGAGCACTGCAGAATCACTGTCCTCCTGGGCTGCCTCAGGCCTCACCTCCAGCCAGGTTCTTCTGTGCCTACAGGGTCCCCCAGACCCAGGCCCACAGCTCCTGAATGGCAGAGAAGCCTCTCTGGGGACAAGGAATGTCACCCGTCCAGTTTCCCAGGACAGGCCCTGGCCTGACCCCGTTAGGGACCAAGAATTGTGAACTGGGGGTGAGAATGGTATCCTCACAGTCCCCAGCCCCAGACTGTGGAAGACTACAAGTCCCATCAGCCCCTGGGATGGAGGTGGCGCAGAGTCTAGGGGTAGGGGTCCAAGGAAGCCTGGGGATCAGGTCCTGACTTTCCATACCTCCTGCTGATGGCCAAATGGGCTTTGGGTCTTTTTTTTTTTTTTTTTGCAGTCTTGGGGCTTGAACTCAGGCCCTTCAGCTTGAGTCACTCCACCAGCCCTATTTTTGTGAAGGGTTTTTTGAGATGGGGTCTTGAGGAACTATTTGCCTAGGCTGGCTTTGAACTGTGATCCTCCTGATCTCTGCCTCCTGAGTAGCTAGGATTACAGGCGTGAGCCACTGGCACCCAGGTCTTTTTTTATTTTTTAATTTTTTTTTGTGGTACTTGGGTGGCTCTGGCTCTTATCAGCCCTTTAGCTGTTCCTGGGGACATCATCCTCGCCCTTCACCGCGCTTTCCAAAGGAGAGGGAGTTGAGTTCTCCTGAGAGCTCGCTGAGCCCTGCTCTGTCCCCTTAGCCAGTCCCTTCGTTACAAAAGTGAAGGAGCTGCGGCTACAGAGAGATGACTTTGAGATCTTGAAGGTCATCGGCCGAGGTGCCTTTGGGGAGGTGAGCAAAGAGCTTGGGGTAGCAGGGGGGAGAGGGATTTGCACCTGGCCTGGGCTAATCCCAGTTCTTTATGTGGCTTCAGGTCGCTGTGGTGAGGCAGAGGGACAGTGGGCAGATTTTTGCCATGAAAATGCTGCACAAGTGGGAGATGCTGAAGAGGGCTGAGGTCAGTTTGGGGTTTGGTGGGATTTGGTCACCATGCAAATGGGCAAGGGAAGATATGTGCTGCCAGCTAGGCCTAGCAGACATCTGGGGAAGGGATGGAGCATGGTTGCTGAGCAGCATAGGATGCCACTCTTAATTGCCACCCATCCCTTTCTCACAAAAACCAAAGAGCAAGCAAGGTTGTAGCCATTTTCTCTGTGGTAACACTGAGGCCCAGAGCCATAAAACATGAGCTTGGATTCATCCAAGGCCAGCCCAGGGTAGAGGTGAGCCGCACGCTTGATTTAAGCCCCTAAGCTTATGAGTTCTTCTCCATCCCCTGAGCTGGAGAGGGGGTTTCCTGGGTTCTGATCCCACCCTACCCCTGATCCCCAAACCTGCTGCAGACAGCCTGTTTCCGGGAGGAGCGAGATGTTCTGGTGAAGGGGGACAGCCGTTGGGTGACTGCTCTACACTATGCCTTCCAAGATGAGGAGTACTTGGTAAGGATACCCAAGTCAGGGGGTCGCCTGGTGACAAAGGAGAAAACCCTTGAGGGCACTGGGTCCTACTAGGTTCCTACTTCCCACCAGATCCTGGGCCTGGAGTCTACTCCCTGAGCTCTGGCTGGGAGCTGTTCACCCCAGAACTGTCAGGAACTATGGCCTTGCCTTCCCAGAGCCTTGCAGGACTGGTGTGAGGTGTGTAGATACCCACTTCCCCAGTCTGATTCTTGGCCCCACCCACTGCCCTTCAGTACCTAGTGATGGACTATTATGCTGGAGGGGACCTCCTCACACTGCTGAGCCGCTTTGAGGACCGTCTCCCACCAGAGCTGGCCCAGTTCTACCTGGCTGAGATGGTGTTGGCCATCCATTCGCTGCATCAGCTGGGCTATGTCCACAGGTGGGACCCTCAGCTCTGCTGTCTGGCCAGTCCTGCAGCTGCCCTGGGGATGGCTGGTGCTCATTGGGTGCTCGCCATGTGCCTGTGTGCTTCAGATGTGTCCTTCCCTTGACTCTTCCTTCCAAAAGTCCTGTGTGGTGGGGGCTGCCTGTGGGCCCATTTTACAGTTGAGGAAGTCAGAGCTTAGCACAGGTAAGCCCTTGGTTCAAGGCGACCCAGGTAGCAGGTGGCCAAGCTGTGGTCTGCATGTGGTCTGCATGGGGCAAGTCTGACTCCTGGATCCCCACAGCACACTCCAGGCCCTCAGTGTCATCCTTACGGGTCCTTTCCCTGGTGTATAGGTCCTCTTTCTGCTGGCCACCAGCCTTCACTCACTCCTATGCACATGCACATACACGAGTGGCACGTACACACAGGAACACATGCAAGCACACATGTGTCCCCACACATAGGTCAAGCCCTTCCCTCTCCCTGCCCTCCTCCAGGGATGTCAAGCCAGACAATGTCCTGCTGGACACGAACGGGCACATCCGCCTGGCTGACTTTGGCTCCTGTCTGCGTCTCAACGACAGTGGCATGGTAAAGACTCACCCAGAGGGGGGAGCAAGGGACATCAGGCAGGCGAGCTCTCAGGGGGATGGGAGGCATCAGCCTACTGTCAGGGACATCAGGTCTCAGGGGGCACTGGGATAGCCCTGTTCCTAGGGAGTGGGTGCCAGGCTCAGACCTGGGCCATGGTGAGGGCCCAGCAGGCCCAGTCAAGCCTGAAGTTATCCTCATGGTGTTCCCCACAGGTGGATTCATCAGTAGCAGTAGGGACACCGGACTACATCTCCCCTGAGATCCTGCAGGCCATGGAAGAGGGCAAGGGCCACTATGGTCCACAGTGCGACTGGTGGTCTCTGGGAGTCTGTGCCTATGAGCTGCTCTTCGGTGAAACGCCCTTCTATGCTGAATCCCTGGTGGAAACCTATGGCAAGATCATGAACCATGAGGTCTGGCTGCCAGGCTCTGGGACTCTAGAGAGGCCAATGGGACCCCTGCATCCATGTGGTTGGAGGTGCCTGCAGGCTATGGTGGGCTCTCACCCTGACCCACCTGCCCCTTCCCCTGGCCCACAGGACCACCTGCAGTTCCCCTCAGATGTGCCTGACGTGCCAGCTAGTGCCCAGGACCTGATCCGTCATCTGCTATGCCGCCAAGAGGAGCGGCTGGGCCGTGGTGGGCTGGACGACTTTCGGAACCATCCCTTCTTTGAAGGTGTGGATTGGGAGCGGCTAGCAACCAGCACAGCCCCCTATATTCCTGAGCTACGTGGACCCATGGACACCTCCAACTTTGACGTGGATGATGACACCCTCAACCATCCAGTGAGTGGTGGATGCCATTGTTGAAGGGTACTGCCTGCCCCGCCAGGGCTATTCAGAAGTTCCCTAGAGCAGGTGCTGGGTGGGGGTGAGGCCTTTGGACCCCAGAAGCTCATGAGAATTGTGATTCACCTGTGCTAGCTCACCTGTACTGAGGTGGATTGCACCAAGTGAAGGCCCTTTGACCCCACGTGTTATCCTATTAACCAGAATGCATAGGGGGAGAACTCCCAGCACTCTTTGGGACACCATGACCTCAAGAACTTATGGGAGTTGTGGTCCATACTGGTAGGGACTGTGTTGTACCTCTACATTCAAGTCTGAGCAGGAAGAGATTGTCATACTTGGTCCCTGAGGGTCTTCTGGTTCTTGAGCCTTGGCCTAGAGCTGTGCCTGCTTTTTCTGATTCTTCTCCCCTTTTCTGTAGGAGACCCTGCCTCCACCCTCCCATGGGGCTTTCTCAGGCCACCACCTGCCATTTGTGGGCTTCACCTATACCTCAGGCAGGTGAGTCTACCCCTCACGTACCTGACAGGATGTTTATGTAACCCGTAGGTTCCTATGGGAAAGGAGACAGAATGGCTTCCAGGCACCAGCATATGACAGGTGCTCTAAGCCTTCCTGTCCTCAGGGTCCAGGTGAAGTCATGGCCATGCCCTAGGGCCACATTCTGGCATGTGCCACAGTGCACCTCAGTTCAAATACATTGAACTTGTAGCAGAGGTCTGGAATATGAAGGGCTCTTACTAGCTATCCTTACTTTGTACCTCTGTCAAATGGGTGGGAGGATCAAATCACCTGGTCCCATTTGAGGGACAGGACTGAAATGGAAAGTGGGGGCCCCCGAAAGGAGTGCTCCAGATGGATGGAGTGCTCTGAGCAGCCCTCACTGAGGGAAACTGTGTGCCGGTTGTGGACCAGCAGGCCTGTCTTACCAAAGCCTCTCTACAGCCCTTGGATGAAGCCGAGTGGTCACCTCCATTTTCCTGTAAGAAAATTGGGGTTCAGATATGACTGTCTAAGATCAGACAGCTTACAAGGGCCAAGATAGCCTGGGGTCTCCTGAAACGGTCTAGTCTGGTGTTTCTCTCTCAGGCACAGAGCCGAGCTTGGGGCATGGAGCTAGTGTGCACTGGGTGTTTCTTGGCTGAGTGAATGAATGGATGCAGGAGGATGGCAGAAGCTTTAGAGTGTGAGGTTTCTGCCAACTTTTGTTGCCCCTGTCCTCCCCCAGTCCTGGTCCTGAAAGCAGCTCTGAGCCAGCAGCTGCCCTGGAACAGAAGCAGGAGAAGGTGGAGCTGAGCTGGAAGCACCAAGGTACAGGGGGAGTAGGGCCAGGGCTGGACATTTGGGCTCTGGGGCTGTTGCAAGCCTGGCCACTCACCTGTGGGGCTTTCCCCTGCCAGAGGCCCTGAACAGCCCCTCAGAGCCCCAGGAGCTGTTGCAGCTGCAGAAGGAAGTACAGAGTCTGCACAAGAGGCTGGCAGGTATCCCTCCCATTCCCAGCACACCCCAAATCTCTGGCTACCAGTACTGTCCCTATGATGTATATGCTGTGTGACCTTAAGCAAGTGTCTTAAACACTTTGAGCCTACGTGTAGAAATTGGGCCAGGGAGACCCATCCTGACTGGTGGTAAGGTTCTGTGAAGTCCTGCACATAGAGTAACTGAGACAGGCTGGGCTGGTCTCAGTACATCCAGGTCTTAGTGACTATTCTTGGCAGAGACTCTGAGGGACAGTGAGGTCCCCTTGTCACAGACTGATGGGTTTCCTGCTGCTAGTCCTGGCCAAGACAGTGACTTAAAGCTCGAGAAGGACCGCCTTCAGCAGGTGAGGGCCTCATGAGGTGGGTGAGTGGCCCAGGGCTTTTTGTTACAGAGGCAGGTGCCCTGATGGACCTTGTTGTGTCCCATTCCCCCATCTACCCACCCTTTACCCCCTACCCCGACTCTCCAGGAGTTAGCTGAAGCTCGGGCAGGGCTGCAGGTGCAGGCACAGGAGCTGATCAGAGCCCAGGCCCAGCAGGAGGAGCTGATGCAAAGGCTGCAGGAGGCCCAGGACAGAGAGGCAGCCGCAGCCAGCCAGACTCAGGCCCTGAGCTCTCAGCTGGAAGAAGCCAGGGATGCACACAGGGAGGTGGGTGATGGGAGTGGGAGGGGCAGCAGCTGGCACTTGCTCTGAGGCCCCCAGCATGGCTGGAGGAAGACTGAGGAGCCTGGTTTGAGGTGCTGTGAACACCATGTTTCTCTGAACCCCACATGGCTGGCTGAAGCCAAGCCAGGGCTTAAGGGCTGGGACAAGGCTCCTGGGAGCCTATTGCCTCCTCACGCCCACAGGGGCTGCAGAGCTTATGAATCCATGGCAAGGTTGGGCAGAAGGGTTGCACTGGACTAGGTCAACGTTAGCCTGCCTCTGCACTCAATCATAGCTGGAGGGCCAAGTGGCTGCCCTGAACCAGGAGGTGACACGGCTTCAGGGACAATGTGAGCGAAGTCTTGAGAAGGAGTCTTCCCTGACCCAGGTAGTGAGATCTCACCCCTTAGCCTGACCCCTGCTCAGGGCCAGGTCCGTGTCCCAGGGTGGGGTGGGCCATGTTCTCTGAACCCCAATCTGATCCTCTTCACATCCTCAAGCCCATCCACATAGCCTCTGAGACCAACGGCACAGGATTACCCGAGGCGGGACCTCAAGAGGCCCAACTGAGGAAAGAGGTGGCTGCTCTGAGGGAACAGTTGGAGCAGGCCTGCAGCATTGGGTGAGCCGGCAGCTGAGGTGGCAGAAAGGGGTCAGTGCATAGCTAGGCTGGGCTTTACCACCCCCTCCTCGGCGTTTCCTTCCCCAGGAGCATTGGGCAGGAGGAAGTCCTGTGCCAGCTGCAGGAGGAGAACCAGCGGCTGAGCCGGGAGCAGGAGCGGGTGAGCAGGGCGGGTAGCAGAGGGCTGGACGGCACACGGACAAGGGGACAACAGGTTGGGTTGCCATCATGGTAGGTGGGCAAAGCTCCAGGGTCCCAGCTGTTGGGTACAGGGTAGCAGAAGAGAAGGGGGGCAGAGAAAGGTACTAGATCTCTGGGGGGATTAACAGAGATCAGGGAGCTGGCATGTGACCGGGGGGGGGGGGAGAGGGCTACTGGGGTCCCTGGGGACTGAGCCTACCTTCTGCATGGTCTCCAGCTAGCGGAAGAACTGGAGCAGGAGCTTCAGAGCAAGCGGCGATTGGAGGGCGAACGGCGGGAGACTGAGAGCAACTGGGAGGCTCAGATTGCTGACATCCTCAACTGGTGCTTGTTGCTGGGTGGGGTGGGGTGGGGGTCCAGGCAAGCTAGGGGTCCAGCCCATGACCCTGAGCCCCTTCCCAACCAGGGTGAATGATGAGAAGGTCTCCAGAGGCTACCTGCAGGCCCTGGCCACGAAGATGGCTGAGGAACTGGAGTCCTTACGGAACGTAGGCACCCAGACACTCCCTACCCGACCTCTGGTGAGTGCCAGATTTATGCTGGGGTTGGGGATAGCAGATATGCTGGGGTTGGGGTTGGCCAGTGGTGTGGGCAGCAGTGTGTTCTGGTAGGAGGGAGTATCTGAGGCTGCCAGGCCCAGAGGGTGTCTTCTGGGGGTCTCCTTTGCCACCAGGACCACCAGTGGAAGGCACGGCGGCTGCAGAAGATGGAGGCGTCGGCCCGGCTGGAGCTGCAGTCAGCGCTGGAGGCTGAGATCCGTGCCAAGCAGGGTCTGCAAGAGCGGCTGACGCAGGTTCAGGAGGCCCAGCTGCAGGCTGAGCGGTGAGGTCAGGGGCAGGTGATGCTGTGGAATCAGGCCCATGCAGAGGCCTGTGGTGAGCCATTGTCCCCTTCCCCCAGCCGCCTGCAAGAGGCCGAGAAGCAGAGCCAGGCCCTTCATCAGGAGGTAGCTGAATTACGGGAGGAGCTGCGGGCCCGAGGACCAGGAGGTGAGTGGCCAGAGCTCTGCTCCAGCCTCATCGTTACTAAGGAACTCCTGTAACAACCCCGAGAAGAGAGAAGTCTGTGCTTACCCCAGCACCTGTCTCTCAGCTCTTACTGAGCATTTCTGTGTGCCAGTGGCTGCCCTCCCCCCACCTCCCAACTGTGGTCATTTCCCCATCTTACCAAGGTGGAAAATGAAGCCCCTCACTGGCCCCTGGTTTCTCAGCCCAGGGACCAAACCCTCAGTGACCTACACCCTCTGTTTTCAGACGCCAAACCTTCAAGCTCCCTCATCCCCTTCCTGTCCTTCTGGAACACAGAGGTAAGGATCATGTACAGGGTTTGGTGGGGGAGGAGTCCTGGGGAGGTTACTGGGCTGGGGGGCGGGACTTGACTTTGCCCTGCCCTTGCCCATCCCCAGAAGGATTCCGCCAAGGACTCTGGCATCTCAGGAGAGGCCTCCAGGCCTGGAGCAGAGCCAGAGCTGAGGCCGGAAGGCCGTCGCAGCCTGCGAATGGGGGTGAGGACAGGCGGGAGTCCTAAGGGTACAGGGCCTCGCCATTACCCCATACCCTTCTCACTGGGTCACTTGCCCTTCTGCAGGCTGTGTTCCCTAGAGTACCTGTGGCCACCACTACCCCTGCAGAAAGTCCTCCTGCTAAGGTCAGCTGAGAGCAGCCCAGAGGGGTGGGGCACCAAGCCATTCATTCCATTTCCAAAGACCTCACTGGGACCCCCACAGGCAGCTGCCTTTGGGGAGGGGGTGGCAGCAATGAATTTTTTGTTTGTTTATAATACTGGGGATTAAACCTAGGGCCTCTACCACTTGAGCTACACCCTGAGCCTGGTGGCAATGACTTTAGTCAGATCGCTGCCCTGGGCTCACTAGGGCTGAGTCAGTGCTGCTGCCTGGCTCAGCCCCCTTGTCCATGTGACTTCCCTGGGATGGGGTGTGGGGCCCTGGGAGGCCATGGCAGGCTTGGGTGATTGTGTGGTGCCCCTCTGCAGCCTGGCTTACACACACTGCGCCCCCGGAGTTTCCCGTCGCCCACCAAGTGTCTCTGCTGCACTTCTCTGATGCTGGGCCTGGGCCGCCAGGGCCTGGGCTGTGATGGTGAGAACCCCCCACATACACTGCCTCCTGTGGTCCAGCCACAGCCCCTAAGGTGTGACCCTGACGCCCCCAGGCTGTTCTTCTCAACCCAGGATTACTAGTACACCTTGGTCAGATTTCTCAACTTTCAGTTTTCTTTTCTAACTTAATGGGTAATGGGTTCAGGTACTACTGGCCTCCAGGAAACAGGCTGGGAAGGCTCAAGTCCTCATCCTGGGCTGCCCTCATTTGGTCTCACTCCACCCAATTTTTCTGTTCTTCCCACAGCTTGTGGCTACCTCTGTCACTCAGCCTGTGCCCCACAGGCCCCGCCCTGCCCCGTACCCCCTGACCTCCTCCGAACGGCCCTGGGAGTGCACCCTGAAACTGGCACTGGTACTGCCTATGAAGGCTTCCTGTCGGTGAGCTGGGGCTGGGGGACCAGGAGGATGGATGTGGGAGCCAAGGACCTGTGCAGCTCTCCATGCCCACCTTCCCTCAGGTACCACGGCCCTCAGGCGTCCGGCGGGGCTGGCAGCGGGTCTATGCAGCCCTCAGTGACTCACGGCTACTGCTGTTTGATGCCCCTGACCCACGGGCCAGCCCAGCCAGTGGGGCCCTTCTGCAGGCCTTGGATCTGAGGTGGGTGCTGGACAGTGGCACAGGGCAAGTGAATCGTGGGTGAGGGGGCATCCAGGGATAATGCAATCTCAGACGTGCTCCGTGCATCTCCAGGGATCCCCAGTTCTCGGCCTCCCCCGTCCTGGCCTCAGATGTTATCCATGCTCAATCCAGGGACCTGCCACGAATCTTTAGGGTGAGTGTGCTCAGGGCAGGACAAACCCAGCCACCATCTGTCTCTGCATGCTGGCCCCACTCTGGGCACTGCTCCATGGCTGCCCCTTGGCCAGGCCCCTTGCCTCCACATGGACTATAGTAGCCTTCATCCTGCAGCCACCATGGGCTTACCACATGGGAATCTGGCCCTGTCCTACCTTGTTTAGGGCCCTTGTGTGGTTTCCCAGTGCCCTCAGGGGCTTTTGAGTCCCCACAGATCTGACCACACAGGCCTTCTCAGCCCTCTATCCTGGCTCCTCTCTCTGCTCTGGCCTCACCATGTCTTTTCCAATTCCCAGAATGCCTGGCGCCTCCTTCTCAGTCCTTCATGTTCTCTTTCCTCTGCAGAGAGTTGTCAGTTCTTTGCCAGGCCCCACCCTCCCACCCATGTTGACTAACTCCTGGGTAGTGTGCTTGTCCCCTGGGCAGTTGTTCTTTGACTTCTTGGCCTGGGTTAGGGGCCCTACTGCATTCCCACAATGCTTGTCATTCCTCTATTGTGCTGCTGATCACAGGGCTCTGGAATTGCCCATGTGTTTGTCTGGGCACCATCTATCTTATTCCTTGCTGTAGACTACACCTAGTCCTGCACCTGGCAGGCACATGGTCAATGCTACAGACATCAGTTGGTAGGGGAGGGAAGGGAGGAAGGAAGAATGGCTCTTGGCCAGCAGCCCTCCATCCTGACTCCCTGCCCACAGGTGACGGCCTCCCAGCTAACAGTGCCACCAACCACATGCACTGTGCTGCTCTTGGCCGAGAACGAGGAGGAGCAGGAGCGCTGGCTGCAGGTGTTGGGTGAGCTGCAGCGGCTGCTGCTGGACACACGGCCAAGGCCCCGGCCCGTGTACACACTCAAGGAGGCCTATGACAACGGGCTGCCGCTGCTGCCCCACACACTCTGTGCTGCCATCATTGGTGAGCCTCACACTGAAGGGATGTTGCTCTGAGCAGGCTGGGGGAGATGTGCAGGTCTGCAGTGAGGAGATGGCCCAGGCCAGTCATGAAGGTGCTCTTAGGGCCCATTCCCTCAGCTACAAGCTGTGCATTCCACCTTGCATGCCTGCATGCCTGTCCTCTCAGCCCACTTCTGTGTGTAACTATGTGAAGAGCCAGGGGCCAGGCAACCCAACTTCTGGCCACTCTACTTCTCTGAGCCTCAGGTTCTGGTTTTTGTAAAAGAGTCTCAAGGGAGTGGAAAAGAAAAGGCCTCAGGAGAGACAAACAAGAGTTCTGGTTCTGGCTGTCTTACTAGTAGCTGGATGACCACAGGGGTACTACACATCTACCTGGAGCCTCAGAACATCTGTGTGGAGTTGGATGGGGTTCACTGTGCAGGCCAGGAGCCTGGGCCTCAGCAGGGCCCTCCCATCTGACAGCTGTGAAAGACAGGAGTGAGTGAAGCAGAGCTCCCTGGCTTCCCCTGGCAGCTGAGGCCCTGAGCCAGTGGCAGCCTGCAGTCAACTTGGGGCTGAAGCCACTGGAGAGACTGGGCATCCCCTTGATTGCTCAGGAGCCAGAAGAGATAAGGGTGCTTGCTGAACAAGGGACTCTGCTTGGCACTTGCCCTGCACCACTTCATCTGTCTACATAGCAGTTCTCTCTGCGTAAGGGGAAACTGAGGCTCCAGGAGGTGACATGACTTACCCAGAATCCACAGCTCTGGTGGTGGGCCTTTCACCCTTACCCCTGCCAGCAAGGTCCTTCCCCACTAGAGTCAGTGAAAACTATGGGAGAGAAGGGTCAGTGATGGGGAACAATATGTGAGATCACCACCTCTACTGCTTCAAGAGAAACTGAGGCTCAGCAAGGACAGGCAATGCTGGAGTGGCTCTCTGATGTTTGACCCTTTCCCTCCCTCTACCAGACCAGGAGCGGCTTGCCCTGGGCACCGAAGAGGGGCTGTTTGTGATCCATCTGCACAGCAACGGTACACACAGGGTGGGTGGGTCGGGCCAGCCCCAGGGGACTCTAGAGGATGGGAACTGAGCTGATTCTCAACTACATGCTCCCTCTCCTCACCAACTTCACAGATATCTTCCAGGTGGGGGAGTGCCGGCGGGTGCAGCGGCTGGCTGCGAGCCCTGCAGCAGGCCTTCTGGTTGTGCTGTGCGGCCGTGGCCCCAGCGTGCGCCTCTTTGCCTTGGCGGAGCTAGAGAGCTCAGAGGTGGCAGGCACCAAGATCCCTGAGTCCCGAGGCTGCCAGGCATTGGTAACTGGGCGCATCCTGCAGGCCCGCACCCCTGTGCTCTGTGTGGCCGTTAAACGCCAAGTGCTCTGCTACCAGCTGGGCCCAGGACCAGGACCCTGGCAACGCCGCATCCGGGAGCTGCAGGCACCTGCACATGTGCAGAGCCTGGTGCTGCTAGGTGACCGGCTCTGTGTTGGTGCTGCTGGAACCTTCGCACTCTACCCGCTGCTCAACGAGGCTACGCCCTTAGCGCTGGGGGCTGGCCTGGTGCCTGAGGAATTGCCACCATCCCGCGGGGGCCTAGGTGAAGCACTAGGTGCTGTGGAGCTCAGCCTCAGTGAGTTCCTGCTGCTCTTCGCCACTGCTGGTGTCTACGTAGATGGCGCTGGCCGCAAGTCTCGTGGCCATGAGCTGCTGTGGCCAGTGGCCCCCACGGGCTGGGGTAAGGCTGGTGAAGGACCCATATGGGTAGGGCAGGGTACCTGGGGTGCATCAAAAGAAGAAAGGGTCCTGCCCATACTCCTGAGCTTGGCACTGGAGACTCTTGCCACCCTGGTGTGCCTTGGGAAGCTCGCCTGGGTTCTTCCTCTTCTGGGCCTTTCAATTCTGCTCTTCCCCTGCTTGTGCTGCCCTCCTTCCTCTCCTACCCGGCCAGCTCTGATGAGACCAGCTCTGGGGGCAGCTCAGCTGGAGCTAGAAGGCATTCCACAAATGACCATCGTGATTGTTGTCATGGTCACTACTGTCTTCATGCTCTCTACCCCGACCTCCCCCATAATTGCTTCTTTGCTTCTCCTCTCCCCCACATTTTTGTTCAGCCTTGTGCTGGCTCTTATCATTTATTTCATGACTGGTTTGGTGCACCAGGAACATGCAGAATGGGGTGGGCTGGTTTCTTTATCCACATCCAGCACCAGAAAGCACACTGTAGGAGCTATGGCTGGAGAAATGAATGAGTGGGACAAGGGTCAGTCTGGTGCACTTACAAGTAACTGGTGATGGAGCAAGGGCTGGAAGAGAGGGGCAGATCTTTATGAGCAGTGGCCCTTCTGGGGTAGGGCCTGTGGGTTGGATGTAGCACAGACAGACTGTCAGCCTTGCAAGTAGGTGTTGGACCCAAACTGCCCAGGGCCAAATGCCAGCTCTCCCTCACCAGCTGGGCAATCTTGGCTATTACTTGGCTCTGGGTTTCCATCCCTCATCTTTAAGTTAGGGGTGATACCTGCTCCAGGTTGTTGGAGAATTAAGGGAGAACACGCCAAGTGTTTAGAACCATGGGGGTGCACAGTGAGCACTTGGCAGTTTTGCCTCATTTGTTATGAAGTTAAGTGTCAACTGGCAGAATCTTCAGAAGAAGGACCTTTGGTGTATGGATGTCACTATGTTGTGGCAGAGCACAGGGTGTTCCCCCTGGAACAGAAGAAGTAAGCCTAGAGAAGTACCTGGCTTGCCTGGGGCTGAACAGTACAGGCAGTTTCCCCACCTGCAGGGTACACAGCCCCCTACCTGACAGTGTTCAGCGAGAGCTCCATTGATGTGTTTGACGTGAGGAGAGCAGAATGGGTCCAGACTGTGCCGCTCAAGAAGGTGAAGGCCTGCCCAGACCCGGGGGCTGCACTGGGGTCCACGTAAGTAACCCAACCTGACTCACGTCTGCCTCCGCTGCCTCAGGTGCGGCCCCTGAATCCAGAGGGCTCCCTGTTCCTTTATGGCACCGAGAAGGTCCGTCTGACCTACCTCAGGAATCCGCTGGCAGGTGAGGGAGTCTGCGCACAGGCGTGACTGTGTGCACATTCATCTGTGCACATGTGTGGGTGTGTGATCCTAAGCACCAGCTAACTGGGGCTTTGGGGACTTGTGAGCATCCCCAAGCTCCCTGCTTCTTTCACAGAGAAGGACGATTTTGACATCCCCGATCTCACCGACAACAGCCGGCGCCAGCTATTCCGCACCAAAAGCAAGCGCCACTTCTTCTTCCGCGTGTCCGACGAGCAGCGGCAACAGCAGCGCAGGTGCGTGATGGCAGTGTGGTGGCCGCGGCCAGGCAGGCCTTTCTGCTCTGGGGGATAGCGCAAGCTTCCAGAGAGGGCAAGGAGGCATGAGAGCTGCTGTCCTACTACTTACACACCCTCTGCCTGTAGGGAGATGCTAAAGGACCCTTATGTGCGCTCCAAGCTCATCTCACCGCCCACCAACTTCAACCACCTCGTTCACGTGGGCCCTACTGATGGGAGGCCCAGTGCCAGGGACCTACCCAGGGTGAGTCCTCCAGAACCCTTCATAAGCCTCCCAGGTGTGACTGAGCCAATCACAGGCCTCTGTGGTTACCTGGCCTTCACCTGTGGTTGCCTGTGAGGCCCGTGAATCAAGCCTGCTATAACTGGACCTAAGCTGTCCAGGCTTCTGGAGTTTATTTGTCCTGGTGTGTCCTGCTCTGTGGTCCCAGCCCCTCTCATTGTCCCTACAGGTTCTGGAACAGAAGGGGCGAGGTGCCCGCAGCTCTGGCTCACAACGGCCGCACAGCTTCTCAGAGGCATCCCGGCGCCCAGGGTCCATGGGCAGTGATGGCCTTCCTGGAGATGCAGACCCCAGTAAGGGCAGCCCCACACCCGTCCCGTTTCCACCTGCTTTGGACCCCCCAAATCTGACCTAGGTATTTTTGTTCCCCCATCCCATCCTGAAGCAGTGAAGAGGAAACCTTGGACCTCTCTGTCCAGCGAATCAGTGTCCTGCCCCCAGGGGTCACTGAGCCCTGCGGGCTCCCTGATACAGGTGAGCCAGCGGGAGGGGCAGTTCTGCTCAATGCTAAGTTTGCACTGGGACATGAGGCCAGAGAACCAGCTGAGCCTTTAAGACATGCAGACTTATTTGCCTTTCCCCCTAGAAGTGAGGCCTATGTAGACTGCCTAGCTATGTGTGTGTGTTGGGGGGGGAGCTGTCCAACCTTCCTGAGCTTGTCTGTCCTATAAAATGAGGTGAGTACTTTGAAACCTGTGTAAGGTGATGGTACCTAGCATAGCACTGGGACATGGGTGGAGGGCCCCAGAATGAAGCACTTAGAAGTTTTATCATTTATTATTCTATTTATGTTTGGCAGTACTGGGGCTTGAACTCAGGACCTCGAGCTTGACAAGTATTCTACCACTTTTAGCTTGCTTTTCAGACAGGGCCTTGGACTTCAGCTCTGGCCAGGGTTGCGGGCACGCATCATGGCCAGCCTGATTTTTTTATTTTTATTTTTTTATTTGGTGGGACTAGGGTTTGAACTTAGGGCTTTGCACTTGAAAAGCAGTGCTCTGCCACTTGAATCTGGCTCTCAGCCCCTATTTTTAATTTCTTGTGGGGATCAAACTCAGCACCTTGCACATGCTAGACAAGCAGTCTACCACTGGGCTTTCTTGTTGTTGTTGCAGTGCTGGGGTTTGAACTCAGGGCCTACACCTTAAGCCACTCCACCAGCCCTTGTTTTGTGAAGGATTTTTTCCACATAGGGTCTCACCAACTGTTTGCTCTGCCTGTTTTGTATCAGAGGCCAAGCCTATAGGTTGGGGTAGAAGTGAGGAGCGGGTATGCATGCTGGCTGGGGACAGAGGAGGAGCTGGGTAGGCTCCACTCATGCTCCCTCCATGTCTCTGCTGCACAGGCACACTGAGCTCACTCAGCCACAGCCTGACATGTTCTTTCATGCCTTCAAGCTCTTCCCCTTCCTTTGTTTTTGTTTTTTGGCCCACTGGGGTTTGAACTCAGGGCCTCACACTTGCTAGGCAGATGCTCTTAACCACTACTTGAGCCACTCCACCAGCCCTTTTTTTGTAAAGGGTTTTTTCAAGATAGGGTCTCTGGAACTATTTGCCTGGGGCTGTCTTCAAACCACAATCCTCCTGATTTCTGCCTCCTGAATAGCTAGGATTACAGGCGTGTGCCACTAGCACCTGATTCTTGCCCTTCCTTTGAATGTTCCCTATTCTCCACCTGATTCACCCAGGCTGCCCTCCCCCCCCCCCCAACTACACTATCACCTTCAAGGAAGTGTTCCTCGATACCTGGCTACTCCTCTACCCCTTCCTTGTGACTCCTGTGCTGTGGTTTCCTTCCTATCTTTTTTTTTTACTTTGTTTTTTTCTTTTTTTATGAGACTGAGCTTTGAACTCAGGGCTTCCCACTTAGAAATCAGGCGCTTTACTGCTTGGGCCACACCTCCAGCCCATTTTGCTCTGGTTAATTTGGAGATGAGATCTCATGAACTATTTGCCTGGGCTGGCCTTAAGCCTCAATCCTCCAGCTCTCAGCCTCCTAAATAGCAAGAATTATAAGCTTGAGCTACCAGTGCCCAGTGACGGGCACCTATTTTCTTTACTTAACTGTGAGAGTTTTCATTCTTCTGCCCAGAGGAAAGCATGTTTGCTGACTGTGGAATGGAGTGAATGAGCAACGAACTTTGATTCATTCAGGAATGAGTAGGAATTACCCAGGTTCTTCCAGTGACTCAGTTACTCTCCACCCCATCTCACTTCTGGTTTCTTTCAGGGCCTGCCTGACTTCTTTTTCTCTCCCGCAGGTCTCAGAGCGACCCCGAAGCCTCCCACCAGCCCCGGAGTCAGAGGGCTCCAGTTGATGCCCTGTGGCAGGGCCCACCCCAGTCCCAGGACAGAAAGACTTGAGGGAGCAAAGAGCTCATGGGATACCATACTCCGGCTGGTCCCGGATGCATGGAAACTTGCGTCAGAGAGAGCCTGGGCAGGGCAGTGACCAGGAGGCTTGCCTGGGTTCCCAGGACTGGGGGACCCGACTTCCCACCCTCATCCCGCCTTTGCCCTCAGCTCCCAGCCCTAGCCTGTGCTGGTCACTGGGAATTCAATGGCCCTTGGGCCCAGCGGGGATTGTGCTAAAGTTCTTTCCAGTGTCAAGCCCTCAGAAGCTTGTAGGAGTCAGAATGAGGGATGGAAGACAGGATTCCTGGGAGCAGGTCAGGGGTTTTGTCTGCACAGTCTGACTCCCAGCTGAGGCCAGGATGGGGCATGTCAGGGTCTGTTCAGGGTCAGGGAGGGAGGACAGGATCTGAACCAGAGAACAGGACAGGAAAGAAGGAGGAAGGATGTAGGTGAAGGAGATGAGAGAGAGGCAAGGGAGGCAAAGGAAGTGGAGAAGGAGGTGGTAGTAATTGAAGGAGATAGGAGCCATACAGAGAAGGAGAGAGGGGTGAAAGGGCATCATTGAAGAAGAGCAAGTGGAGAGACTCAGGAGAGTGGTGGAGGGAGGGAAGCTGTGGAGAGCTCAGGCCCAGGGCCTTTCTGTGGGGAGGCTTGGTGGGATGGGAACAGGATGGGCACTGTGAGCTAATCCGCCCAGGGGGAAGGGAATTCCTAGGCAGAGGTAGGATGGGGAGGGTATTTATGAAGGCTTCTTGGTGGGAGATGGATCCCCAGCAGTGGCCACTGGAGGGTCTCCAGGCACATTTTGGTTCTTCCCAGAAAGGGGGGTCCTTTTTCTCAAAGCTTCAACCAACTGTATTAGGGGAACATAGGGAGCATTTTATTATTGATTACAGTCTTTATTATTGTTATTATATTACTATTTTTATTAAACCTCCCCCTACTAAGACGTGGGGGGCAAAATAAGTATTTATCTCTTCAAATGCTACATTCCCAAGAGGGAAAGTCCCTGATGCTCTGTGATGGAGCAAGAAACCAATAAAGACAACTTTGTAAGCTGCTAGCCTCCCTACGGGTCTGTTGTGGGGTTCAGAAAGTGGAGAGGGGAGTGGGAGATGGAGGGAAAAGTACAGAGGATATCGTGGACAGATAAAAGAGTGGGTCTCAGGCTGCCAGCGTGGCTCAGGCAGTAAGAGTGTCTGCTTTGCAAGCATGAGGACCTGAGTTCAAACCCCAGTGTTGTCCAAAACAAAAAAAGGAAAAAGAGTGGGTCCCCTTCCGCTATATTTTCAGGAACCAGGTGACACCCTCAAACAGGGTAAGTGAAGACAGCATGCTAAGAAAGGGACAGTTTACAAAAGCATGAACAGTGTTTAGGGAACCCACCAAGGAGCAATGGTGCCTGTGACCTGGCAGCCATGATGGGCAGGAAGACAGTGGTGCTGCCTGACAGGAGCTATGGCTTGCAGTAGAAGACCTTGGCCATGGCTGAGCAGGAAGGCAGCCTCACTCTGCTCCCATCCTTCCCTCTCCTGCCCCCCTTAGTGCAAGCACAGTTAACAGCCAGAGGCCCCAAGGGCTCAGGTACTGCCTATGGTAGAGGGGCAGTCTTGGGCACATGAAGTAGTGTGGAGAGGGTAGAGGATAGGGAGGCCCACAAAGGTGAGGTGCTAAGAGGAGAAGACAGAGGGAGACCTTGGAAGTGACTCACTGTTCTTAGCTGGGGTTTCCATTACTGGACAGTATCCAGGCCTCCAGACAGGGCTGAATGCGTAGGCCTGGGGGTTGCTTATAGCTGTGCCTGGAAGCTCATGGCAGGCCCTAAAGCTAGAACAAAGTATGGAGAAGAGGCTGGGGTGCCACTATCTGGGAATGGAGTTGGAGGATCACCATGGAGTTCTGGTACCTGATCAGGGGCCAGGCTGGAGAGTCAGACTCCCTGGATTCTAATCTACCCAGTCTTGGGCTTCCTCTTCTAGATGGGGAATCATAAAACCTCATGGAAGGTCCTGCTGAGGCTTTGGTGAGGTAACGATATAAAATGCCTTCAATCCACTTGGAAAATGTTTAACCCTGCCTGTTGGTGTGCAGAGGCCGTAAAGTAGGCCCTGGGTAGATGAGGGATGTCCAGGCCTCTGGCAAGCTGAAGTCTTGAGCCACCTTCTTCCGATCTAGAGAAATGGCTGCCTTCTCTGCACCCAGCAATAAGTCAGCCAAAAGACAAATTTCTACATTTTTTAAAAGTCTACTTTTTGACCAGGCGCTGGTGGCTCACACCTGGAATCCTAGCTACTTGGGAGGCTGAGATCAGGATGTTGGGTTCAAGGCCAGCCTCAGGCAAATAGTTCTTGAGACCCATCTTGAAAGTATCCAACACAAAATAGGGCTGGTGGAGTGGCTCAAATGTTAGAGCGCCTGCCTAGCAAGCATGAGGCCTTGAGTTCAAGCTCCAGTGCTGCCAAAAAAAAAGAAGAAGGTGGGGTGCCAGTGATTCACACTTATAATCCTAGCTACTCCAGAGGCACAGGAAGGCAAACAGTTTGCAAGACCCTATCTTGAAAATATCCAACACAAAAAAGAATTGCCAGAATGGCTCAAGTGGTGTGGTAAGAGCACCTGGAGCACCTGCCTAGCTAGTGTGAGGTCCTGAGTTCAAACCCTAGTGCCACCAAAAAAGACAAAGAAATGTGGCTAGAAGTGGTGGTTGGTGTATGCCTATAATCCTGGCACTCAGGAGGCCCAAGTTTGAGGACAGCTTGGGCTACATCATGAGATTTCGCCACACACACACCCCTCCTGGCATGTTGTTAGGTCACTGGAGGTGCTGCCTTTGGAAGACATTAAGGTAGTTCTGTGGGAGCCCTGAGTTAGTTCTTGCAAGTGTGACTTACTATAAAAGTGCTCCTTCCAGCTGGGGTTCAACACCTGTAATCCTAGCTACTTGGGAGGCTGAGATCAGGAGGCTCGCCTTTCAAGGCCAGTCCAGGCCTCCCAGAGGTGTGGCTCAAGCAGTAGACTGCTTGTTTTGCAAGCATGAAGCCCTGAGTTCAAACCCAGTAACACACACACACACACACACAAAAGGCCATCTGTTATCCTGTGACATAGTCAAGGGGACCCTCGCCAGAGCAGGCACCATGCTACTTTGGCTTTCAGCCTCTAAAACTCTGAGCTAAATAAACTTATAAAAATGTACAAATACACCATTTGAAAGTAAGTTCAGACACTTGAATTCATCTCTAAATACGTCAGCAGGCATCTCTTAAAAATAAGGGACTACCAGAACATTATCGAGTAGGCTGTCTGTTACGGGTTGAATAATGATCTCCCCAAATTTATGTTCAAGACTTAACCTCAGATACCTCAGATAGTGACCTTATTTGGAAATAGGTCACTGCAGATATATTAATTAAGTATGATGAGGTCATGGGGATGAACCCTAATCCAATATGAATAGTGTTCTTTAAAAAGGTGGAAGGGGTGCCAGAACTGGTGGTGCACACCTGTAATCATAGCACTCCGGAGACTGAGGCAGGAAGATCGTGAGTTTGAGACTAACTTGGATTACATAGCAAGACTCTGTCTCAGGAAAAAAAAACAGAGAAAGGTGTAGGAAGGCTAGAGATACAATTCAGTGGCAGGTGCAAGACCCTTGGTTTAATCCCCAGCAGCTCAGAAAAAAGGGGGGGGAGAAGGGAATTTGGGGACAGGCACACATTTACACATAATACCCTGTGACAATAAAGGCAGAGATCCAGAGATGGGAGTGATGCTTCTGGAGGCTAAAGAAAGCCAGATTGCCAGCAAGCCACCCACAGTTAGGTAAGAGGCATGACACACATCCTTCCAGCCCTCAGAAGGAACTAACCCTGCCAACAACTTCACCTTGGACTTGTAGCCTCCAGAACTAGGAGACAACAAATGTCTGTTTCTCGTACAGTTGTGTCAAAAAAGTTCCTTATAGGGCTGCGGGGGATAGTTCACTAGTAGTAGAGAGCACTTGTCTAGCATGCCAGAGGCCTTGGGTTTGATCCTCAGCACCACTGGCTCTTACCTATCTATCTAAATAGATATCTACCTACTTATTTATACTTACAGTGTTGGTGGGGATTGAACCCAGGGCCTCACACATGCTAGGCAAGTGGTCTACCACTGACCTACACCCCCAGTCCCTTTCCTCCCCCGCCTTCTTTTTTGTGTTATTGTAGCTTAAACTCAGGGACTACGCTTTGAGCCACTCCACCAGCCCTTTTTGTGGATGGGGTTTTTTTTTTCGAAATAGGGTCTCAAGAGCTATTTGCTGGAGCTGACTTCGAACCATAATCCTCCTGATCTCTGCCTCCTGGGTACCTAGGATTACAGTGCCCGGCTGTCCCCTTTTACTCTCTTTTGTTGTTGACAGTGACTTATTTTTTTTCGGTACTGGGGTTTGAACTCAGGGCCTCATGTTTACCAGGCAGGCACACTACCACTTGAGTCACTCCATTAACCCTGTTTAATGTTGTTTTTTTTCTAGATAGGGTCTCCTGAACTATTTGCCCGGGGCTGGCTTTGAAACTCGATCCTCCTGATCTCTGCCTCCTGAGTAACTAGGATTACAGGTGTGAGCCACCAGCGCCCAGTGACATTTTTTTGTTTGTTTGTTTGTTTTTTTGGCGGCACTGGGGTTTGAAGTGAGGGCTTCACACTTGCTAGGCAGGTGCTGTACCACTTGAGCCACTCTGCCAGCTCTTTTTTGTGTTGGGTATTTTTAAGATAGGGTCTCAACAACTATTTGCCTGGGGCTGGCTTGGAACCACTATATTCCTGATCTCTGCCTTCTGAGTAGCTAGGATTATAGGCGTATACCACAGGTGCCCACCCATATCTTTTACATTTTTCATACAGCTATTGGAAGTTCTGAAATTCTATAGTGGCTCATACTACATTTCTTTTTTGTTTGTTTGTTTTCTTTTTGTGGTGGGTTTCACACTAGGTTGAGCAGGCTAACCTTCAACTCCTGGACTCAAGTGACCCTCCTGCCCTAGCCTCCTGAGTAGCTGGGACCACAGGTCCACACCACCACACTCAGCTCAGCAAGTATTTGTTGAACACCTACTATGTGTCAAACACATTCTAGGCACAGGATAGACTGGTAAAGGAAACACACATTCCCTGTCCTGCAGAGCTTGTATTTTGATGGTAGGAGACAAATAGTAACAAAGAAATTCTATCTTATGCTAGAATAGTGGTTCTCAGCCAGGGCCTATTTTGCCTTTAGGCAGACATTTGACAAAGTCTGGAGATAGTTGTAATTGTCACGCTAGGGACACCCAGTAGGTAGAGGCCAGAGAAACTGCTAGCCATCCTACAATCACAGGACAGCCCCCAACTACAAAGAGTTACCTGGCCACAAATGTCAGTAGTACCTTGGCTGAGCAATCCTGTTCTTAAAAGTTGTTTTAGGGGAAAAAAAAAAAGTAGAGCAGAGCAGAACAGAAGGAGGGTCTAACGCTTGCTGGGCAGGTGCTCTACCATTTGAGCTACTCCACCAGTCCTTTTTTGTGTTGAGTATTTTCGAGATAGGGTCTCACAAACTATTTTCCTGGGCTGGCTTCAAACCTCAATCCTCCTGATTGCTGCCTCTGAGTAGCTAAGATCACAGGCATGAGCCACTGGTGACTAGCTATTTTTAATTTTTTGATGCCAGTTTTTACAATGTAGCCTAGGCTGGCCTCAAACTCATGACCCTCCCATCTCAGCCTCCTGAGTGCAGGGATCACAGGCATGCACCACCACTCCTGGCTTGGCAGGTGCAAATTTTTTTTTTTCGGTACTGGGATTTGAACTCAGGACCTCACCCTTGCTAGGCAGACACTGCCACTTGAGCCACACCTGCAGCCCATGTACTTGACTCCTCGCTGGTGTCTCACACCTGTAATTCTAGCTACCAGAGGGACAGATCACAGAGATCATGAGGATGCAGTTCAAAGCCAGCCCGGGGCAAATAGACCCTATCTCAAAAACACCCAACTCAAAAGGGGTGGAAGAGTAGCTTAAATAGTAGTGTGCCTGCCTAGCAAGCTTGAGGCTCTTAGTTCAAACCCCAGTCCCGCCAAAAGAAAAAAAAAAAGCAAAAACAAATTGTAGTGGTTTTTCAAATTCTCTCCTTGCACGTTAAATTTTTTTCTCCTGGGCAGAATGGGGAAGAATTAATTGCCAGACACGGAGTAGGCACGTTTAATGTGAAAGAATATCCAACTACAGCAGGGGTGCAACTATATTTGCATTCCCACAGTTGTTGTTTTTTTAATTTGTTTTTGTTTTGGGGTAGGGGGGTGTTGAGACAGGGGCTGGCAAAGTAACCCAGGCTAACTTCGAACTCGTAATCTTCCTGTTTCAGTCTCGCGAGTACTGGTATTATAGATATGAACCACCACGTTAGGCTCTTCAGTGTTTTAAAGGACCAGTTTTCTTCACACCTTGCTGACCATTGATAAAACACCCTGCTGAAGGGCTGCGACCACCAGAGCACGCCACAACAGTCTCCGGACTACATCTCCCAGAAGGCACCGCGGAGCCACTTCCACTTGGTTGCGTGACAAGGAATGACCAATGAGAACCTCGGAAAAGTGGTACGCCTCCCTTCCTATAGGCCAGAGGTAAGGAGACTACTACTCCCATCGGGCAGCACGTGCTGGCGGGCGCGCCACCATTTCCAGATTCAGCAGGGTGGGGGGAAATGGACCAAGGTTTGCCCCGGACTCCACTTCCCGGCAGGCAGTGCGGCCCGAGGGGCGGGACTCCTACTTCCCAGCAGGCTCCAGGCGGCGGGCGCCGCGGTGCCTTGTGTGGGATGTAAGAGCGGAGGTGGGCGCGGGGGACCGAGGCCAGGACTCTCCTTGGGATTTAGGGGGGCTGGTCTGTGGGCGTCTTCCAGACGGGCTCCAGGGGGCCGAGGGTATAGTCGCAGGAAGGGGGCGGGGCGGCTTTGGGTGGTCCTTGGGGTGCGCACCCCCTCCACCCCCGAGCCGGGGGTCCGGGGCACCAGGAGGCCTTACAGTCTCGGTTGAGGGGTCTCACCGACGAAGGAGGGGCAGCTGGTGGGCGCAGGTGAAAGGGGCGGGGAAGCAGGAGCGTTGTATGTGTGGGGTGGAACCTTAGCCGAGCCTGGGAGGGGGCTCCGCGGCCGAGCCCGACCCTTCCTCGCCTGACTCGCCCGCAGGCCGCCGCCCGCCGCCATGGGGCTGAAGGCCGCCCAGAAGACTCTGTTCCCGCTGCGCTCCATCGACGACGTGGTGCGCCTGTTCGCTGCTGAGCTGGGCCGAGAGGAGCCGGATCTGGTACTCCTCTCCTTGGTACTGGGTTTCGTGGAGCATTTCCTGGCTGTCAACCGTGTCATCCCCACCAATGTGCCCGAGCTCACCTTCCAGCCCAGCCCCGCGCCCGACCCTCCCGGCGGCCTCACCTACTTCCCCGTGGCTGACCTGTCCATCATCGCTGCCCTCTATGCCCGTTTCACCGCTCAGATCCGCGGTGCCGTTGACCTGTCCCTTTACCCGCGAGAGGGGGGCGTCTCCAGCCGCGAGCTGGTGAAGAAGGTCTCTGATGTCATATGGAACAGCCTCAGCCGCTCCTACTTCAAGGACCGGGCCCACATCCAGTCCCTCTTCAGCTTCATCACAGGTTGGAGCCTGACAGGTGGCCAGGAGAGAAAATGAATCCTGGCTGACTTCTTCAACACTGTGGTTTACAGAACCCTTTTGAGACCTGTAAATCTAGTGTGGTAGGACAGGTGTTTTTTCTCCTTTGCAGTTTGGAGAAACTGAAGCCACAGGAGGGGAAGGGATGTACCAGAATCACAGAACGGCAGGGCTGGGACTGGAGCCTGATCACTTGGCTTCAAATCCTTTAACCTGCCCTCTCTCCCCATAGCCCTGCCATTGAGCGGCCAGTGTGAGGCACAGGTGGTAGCAGATTAGGGAGGGAGAACAAAAGGGGATCTGCATTGGAGACAATTAAAATGAAATAATGTCAGTGAAAATGTTTTGTAAGGAAACAGACCATGGACTCAACCTCAAAAAGCTTAAGGCTTGGGGCTTACAAAGTGGGTCCTTGTGCCCAGTCCAGCTGGTGCACCTGTGTCCTGGTGTACTGTATTGAACAAGAATCTAAGGCCACTTCTGAGTTTAGCAGGAAAAAAGTGCAGAGAGAAATTAGGAGTATCTCTTGGTGGGTTTGGAGGGAAAAAAGAGTGTTGGTAGAGTGGCCTATTTTCTCCGTCCCTATTATAAATCTAGTAGGTACAATAAAACAGGGAAGTTAACAGAAGTACATAATGTAGTTGCAGAGACAAGGAAGGGACAGGGACAAAGGTTGGGTAGAGCTATGGTCAATCCACAAAGATCCCTTGCTGGGGTCAGGGTTGTAACGGGAAGAAGGTTGTAAACATGGATGGCAGGTGTAGAAAGGTGATGGGCAGGAGCATCTGAGGCTTGGGCTCAGGCTTTGGGGACTATGGGAGGGGCATGGCCCATCAATATCTGGCTCCCTTCCTCCAGGCCAAAGCTCAGAAGAACCTTTCTCATTACCGTCCCCTTCCACAGGCACTAAACTGGACAGCTCAGGTGTGGCCTTTGCTGTGGTGGGGGCCTGCCAGGCCCTGGGACTCCGGGATGTTCACCTGGCCCTGTCTGAGGATCATGCCTGGGTAGTGTTCGGACCCAATGGGGAGCAGACAGCTGAGGTCACTTGGCATGGCAAAGGCAATGAGGACCGCAGGGGCCAGACAGTCAATGCAGGTGTGGCTGAGCGGGTATGTAACCCCTAACCTCGTCTCCTTTGTACTCTGCTAGCCCAAGCCATTCAAGGGATTCTACTTTGCCTGGGGAAGGTAGATGAGCCCGTTTCCTGTGGTCTTGCCCTGAGTAGGCATAGGGAGATGTCATGAGACATTTGCTTTTGTCCCCTCCCAAGAGCTGGCTATACTTGAAAGGATCATACATGCGCTGTGACCGTAAGATGGAGGTGGCATTCATGGTGTGTGCCATCAACCCTTCCATTGACCTGCACACAGACTCCCTGGAGCTGCTGCAGCTTCAGCAGGTGAGGGGTGTGCCTGTAGGGAGGGTGAGGGCCAGGCCAGGTTGCTGCTACCACCTGCTGTGGGGCCCTGGAAAAGGGCTTTGACTTCCCTTCTGTATAATGGGTAGATATTTCCTAGCCCAGTTTTCCCAGAGCTCTTGGGAGAGAGTGGAACTGAAATCTGAAAGGGTTTTGACCCTATTAAAGGGCTGGTTCCTGAATTCTGGTCAGAGGTCCCTAGTGGTTCTGGACCCCCAACTCTGCTTGATAGGCAGTTTCCCTTCTCCTAGCTCATAACTGTCTTCTTCGACCCTAGAAGCTGCTCTGGCTGCTCTATGACCGGGGACATCTGGAAAGGTCAGTAGGAGGAAGTGGCCAGGCTGGGCCTTGGGGGGGACAGAGGGCTGGGTGGCAGCTTGGATTTATGATCCTCTCCCAGGTACCCCATGGCACTAGGGAACCTGGCAGATCTAGAGGAGCTGGAGCCTACCCCTGGCCGGCCAGACCCACTCACCCTCTACCACAAGGTGAGGGCATCTCAGGAAGTGGCAGTTGTGAGGCCCCAACAATTGCTGGGGTCCTCTTTCTGGGGACACGGAGGGGGCAAGTGAGATGTGAAGAGCTTTGTGCTGCGGGGCCATTACCCACCTAGTCCTCACTTTGTATCAACTGTGTGCATAATCAGTGTAGTCAGGGCTGTCCGCCGAGTGCCCTGGGCTCCCCAGCCTAGGATTGGCAGGGCTTGGATCTGTCCTCCTATCTTAGCATTTTCTGCTGCCCCTCCCTGTCCTTCCTGCCATATAGCAGAGGTCAATGTGGTGGGAGCACTTGAGGGAAGGTTGTTAGCTTGAAGGGGCAAGGGTGGGGCCATTGGGCTTGGTTGTCTTTAGTAGTTTTGTAGAAGAATGTGGAAAGCCTGGAAAAGAAAGCTGCCCTGGACTCGGAGCACCCTGCAGGTCCAGTGGGAGCATGGGTAGATGGGCCAGTAAGGAGAGGAGTTGGGGTTGGAGATGGAGAGGACCCTCTGGGATCTTCATTCATGCCAGTCCAGAGGGGCTGCCTCCCTAAGGTTCCTCTGCCCCATCCCCCAGGGCATTGCCTCAGCCAAGACTTACTACCGCGATGAGCATATCTACCCCTACATGTACCTGGCTGGCTACCACTGCCGTAACCGCAACGTGCGCGAAGCCCTGCAGGCCTGGGCGGACACAGCCACTGTCATCCAGGAGTGAGGATTCCCCCACTTGGGCCTGCAGCCCATTCTTTTCCTCCAACCAGTTTTAAACCATTCTTACCCAGGAGTGAGACCTGTTTCCCAAGCCCTGTCCCCTCTCATCCAGTCCCTAGGCACCCAAGGCCACCACCACCCAGGAAGTAGGGACCTGTGATTAGCGCCTCATGCCTTTCCCTGCTCCCCTTCCTACCCAGTTTTGAATGAAGCCTCCCTCCTTACTCTTGTCCTGGGCTGACACAGACCATCATCTGTGAGTGAGGACCCCAGCTGCTCACCCAGTCCGTGGGATGACTTGGGAAGAGAAACCTGGGCTGCATCCCTCACCAGCTCCCTGGGGGCACCCATCATGTTGAACCCCCACATGCTCCCTGCTCTCACAGCTACAACTACTGCCGGGAAGATGAGGAGATCTACAAGGAATTCTTTGAAGTGGCCAATGACGTCATCCCCAACCTGCTGAAGGAGGCTGCCAGCTTGCTGGAGGCAGGCGAGGAGCGGCCAGGAGAGCAGACCCAGGTGAAGGGCTGGAGCTCCACTTGTGTCTGTCCCCCCACCTGAGCAGGGCCCTAGCCACAAGACATGAGACTGCATGGACAGGACCTGGGGCTGCACGTGGAAGATGGCTCAGGGCTACCTTCTCTTTAGCTGAGATCCTGGGCCTGGGCTTGAGGGGACCGAAGGTGTTTTAGGGGTCTCTGCCCTGTCCTTTCAGGTAAATGGGGTGGCACCCTTCCTTTTCCATGGTCAGGGTAGGGTAGAGGTGAGGGATGGTCCCATTCCCTCTGTCCTGGCTGAGGACTGACTCTGAAAGGAAGGAAGTTCTGAGAATGTTCCTGATACATCCTCACCTCTGTAGCCAGGGCTCTGCCTCATTGGGGGCCAGGTATGCGCCCTCTGTCTGAACTGTGCCTGCCCTTCCCCCTTGCCTAGGGCACCCAGAGCCAGGGCTCCGCCCTCCAGGACCCGGAGTGCTTCGCCCACTTGCTGCGTTTCTACGATGGCATCTGCAAATGGGAGGAGGGCAGCCCTACTCCAGTGCTGCACGTGGGCTGGGCCACCTTCCTTGTGCAGTCCCTAGGCCGATTCGAGGGACAGGTGAGGGGTAGCTGGCCAGAGGGCTGGGCATTATAGGTGGTGACAGTAGCCACAGGGGAGGCAGATTTTTGCGGCTCAGAGACAGCCTCTGCCCATCCTCGTTGTGTACAGTTGGCTGGAACTGGGCCCTGGAGTTCCCAGCAGTGGCTGGAAACCTTCCCCTCACCCCTTACTCTCGCCCCTGCCCAGGTGCGGCAGAAGGTGCACATAGTGAGCCGGGATGCTGAGGCCACCGAGGCAGAGGAGCCGTGGGGAGAGGAAGCACGGGAAGGCCGGCGGCGGGGTCCGAGGCGGGAGTCTAAGCCAGAGGAGCCGCCGCCTCCCAAGAAGCCCGCGCTGGACAAGGGCCCTGGCTCCGGCCAGGGTGCGGGGTCAGGACCCCCCCGGAAGCCTCCAGGGACGGTCCTGGGCACTGCCCGGGGTCCTGAAGGTGGCAACGCGGCTCAGGCTCCAGCGCCTGCCGCATCGCCACCACCGGAGGGCCCGGTGCTCACTTTCCAGAGTGAGAAGATGAAGGGCATGAAGGAGCTCCTGGTGGCCACCAAGATCAACTCCAGCGCCATCAAGCTGCAGCTCACGGCGCAGTCGCAAGTGCAGATGAAGAAGCAGAAGGTGTCCACGCCCAGCGACTACACGCTGTCTTTCCTCAAGCGGCAGCGCAAGGGGCTCTGAACCGCCAACCGCACAGAGCCCAGCCCCGCCTTCCGTCCGCGGGAGCCCAGGCTCCGCCCACAGCCCCCGGAGGCCTAGGTCCCGCCTCCCGCCGCCCGCCCGCGGCCAGGCCCCACCCCCACCCCCACCCGGAACTTCTCGTCCCGGATTCATGGACTATGTTCCCCGACCCTGAGCCTGCGATTAGCTCCGACTCAGACTCCCGGGCCTTGGCTCGGTCCTCAGAATATACCTCCCATGTCCTCGCACCCCAGCTGGCCGATGAGAACCTCACCGTGGGTCGGGGCACCAATCTTTAAAGGTCCAACCCCTGGACACTCGGAACCAAAGCACCAATCCTAGGCCAGACCTGTGCTTTCTCCCACTTGGGGGCTGAGGTTTCGCTCTAATCCGGGGAGCACAGATCTGACTTCAAGCTTGGGAACCGAGGACCCCACTTGGCTCCTTGGGGCACATTTCCACACTTAAGAATTCCATCCCTTGGGACTCCAAGCTCCCTACCCCTAAAAACTTAAGTCCTTCTGCTGGAATGTGGAAATCCTTTCCCTATCCCAAGAGGGCTCCGTCCCCAGCCTGTGTGAATCCTGAGCCCCGCCCCCTTCCTGACCAAACTGGCCCCAGATCAGAGCTGGACCTCTCCCCCCCGACCCCCCGACCCTCTGGGAACCTCCCCAAAGTCCAGCCTATCTGCAGGGAGGAAATCTGCAGGGGGTTGGGACTGGATGAGGGGGCTGAACTCTTCCTGTTTTGTACATAGATTTATTTTTCAGTTCTAAGGAAGATGAATACATTTTGTTAAAAAAAAAAAAAAACTAAAGACACATGTCCGTGTTTCATCTGTGAAACTGGGGAGGGGTGGGGCCGGCATGTCCCCTTTCCTCTGCCTTCTGGCTTCGCACTTAGCGCTCCCCACTCGTAAAAGCCCAAGGATCACGCCTGGGAAGGACCTGCTAGCCCGGCCCTCGGGACTTCCCCGCGCAGCCTAGGGCCTGTCCCGCGGGCGCCTCCTCCCGGCCGGGCGGCGGGGCATCCCCGGCCTGGCCCCGCCCCCAGGCCCCGGCCCCACCCCCGCGGCCTCGGCGCCACCGGCGCCCGCCCCGCCCCGCCCCGCGCCGCCCCGCGCCGGCTCCGCTGCTCGCGCCTGCCGGCCCGCCCGGCGCCGGGCCATGGCGTTGCTGCGGGACGTGTCTCTGCAGGATCCGCGGGACCGCTTCGAGCTGCTGCAGCGCGTGGGGGCCGGGACCTATGGCGACGTCTACAAGGTGCGTCGGGCGGCAGGACGGGCGGGAGCGCTGGGAGGAGGGTGCCCGCTCCGCGCCCCGCCGCGGGAGCCAGCCCCCGGCCCCGCCCCCTCCTCATCCCGCTTCACCCCCTGCGTCCCGCAGGCTCGCGACACGGTCACGTCCGAACTAGCCGCCGTGAAGATTGTCAAGCTAGATCCAGGTGAGGGCCCGGGCGGAGCCTCTGCGCCGGAGGGAGGCAGGGCGCGGGCGGGCGCGCTGTCGGGGGCGGAGAGTTGACATTTCCAAGACCCCCTGAGAGGCAGGCCCAGTAGGCACTGTGCCTTGGCACCTGTCTGGCCCGGAGGGAGGTACTCTGCCCATTTTGCAGATGGGGGAACTGAGTCAGGGCAACCGCTGTGTGCGCCCCCATGATGCCTTGTGCTCCCCAGGGGACGACATCAGCTCCCTCCAGCAGGAAATCACCATCCTTCGTGAGTGTCGCCACCCTAATGTGGTGGCCTACATTGGCAGCTACCTCAGGTGAGGCTGCTTTATTCTCTGGCCCCAGGCAGCCCCCATGTGGCCTGCTGTGTGCCCACCCTAAGTCTGTGTCTCCCTCCCAGGAATGACCGCTTGTGGATCTGCATGGAGTTCTGCGGAGGGGGGTCCCTGCAGGAGATTTACCACGGTGAGGGCTGGGCTTTAGGCTCTAGAGGACCACGGCCTTCCCTTCATCCCAACATTGGGGCATTTGGAGAGAGTCCAGGCTGGACTTGAGCTCCTCTCCACACCTGGCTGGCTGTGTGACCTTGAGAGAAATGCTGTCCTTCTCTGGGCTCAAAATCCCAGCCTAGGCTGAGAGGGAATGTGGCTAACACCCCTTTCTCTTAGCTGTACCTGCTGCTTCCTCCCACATTCAGGGTGTCTGGGGAGGTCTGGAATATCACCCAGACCCCTGTGCCAGCCCTCACCCTTTCCATTTCAGCCACTGGGCCCCTGGAGGAACGGCAGATTGCCTATGTGTGCCGAGAGGCATTGAAGGTAGCTGGGCATAAAAGGCACTCATGACCAAATCCGCAGGAGCTGTGGTCCCAGAGCCTAGCTGACCAGTGCAGGGAGAAGGGAGTGCCCAAAGCAGGGCTGACCCAGGGGCTGTGGGTCCTGGGGGGGAAGGGGCCCTAGCCCTGTTGCCGGAAGCAGCCCATTTCCCTCTTGGCTCAGTCACTTCCTGTTTGGGGAGAGGGGAGGAGGAAGCGGCTTGGGTGGGGGGCCCTAGTCCTGAGAAGGGGTTCAGGAGGGGATAGTGCCAGGTAGCCACCCTCAGGGACTCCTCTTTGTCCCTAGGGTCTCCACCATCTGCACTCTCAGGGGAAGATTCACAGAGACATCAAGGTAGGGGTCAGCCAACGGCATGGTTGGAGGGAGGAGGAGGCTGTCCGTCACCAGATGGGATTCTTTCTTCCATTCCCACAGGGAGCCAACCTTCTCCTCACTCTCCAGGGCGATGTCAAACTGGGTCAGTACCCGGGGACACCATCAGGGTGAGGGTTCTGAGGGAGTTCTGAAGCTGCAGAGAGAACTTGGCCTCAAGTGCTGGGTGTCCCAGGGCCAGCTGTTTTACCGCTGGAACCTCAGTTTCTCCATTTAGAAAACGCAGCATGTTCCCTTCCTGCTGATAGTTGGCTGAGGAGTCTGGGTGAAGCACTGTCAGGGATAGAGGGTGCTTGGCCCCTCCCAGGAGCGGGACCTGGCCAGGCCTGGGGCCTGTGGTAGCTGTGGCTGGATTGGGTCACCCGCCCATCGGAGCCTTGCCAGGTGCACCCTGGGGGTGGTAGTGAGTGGTGCCATGGAGCTGATGAGAGTCGTTCTTTTTTCCTGCAGCGGACTTCGGAGTGTCTGGTGAGCTGACGGCATCCGTGGCCAAGAGGAGGTCTTTCATTGGGACCCCTTACTGGTGAGGCTATGCCCTGAGCAGAGGTGGCAGGGGCCACAAGTGGGGTGGCTGCCATTCCATCTGTGACTCTGCCTCTAGGATGGCGCCAGAGGTGGCTGCTGTGGAGCGCAAAGGTGGCTACAATGAGCTGTGTGACGTCTGGGCCCTGGGCATCACCGCCATTGAGCTGGGCGAGTTGCAGCCGCCGCTGTTCCACCTGCATCCCATGAGGTCAGCCTCATACATGCCCCTTGGCTGACCTTTGCCCTGCCGACCTTTGACTCCTGACCTCACATCCTCCTCAGGGCTTTAATGCTCATGTCGAAGAGCAGCTTTCAACCACCCAAGCTGAGAGACAAGATGCGCTGGTAAGGGCTCACCCTGTGCCCGGATCCCCGTTTGCCAGCCAGGTCCCCTGGTGGGGGAGGAAGAGCCTTCTGGTTATTCCCAGGATGCAGTGTGGAGAGCCTGAGGGGTGGTGCGTCCTGCCTCCAGGCAAGTAGCTGCTGCAGACAGGAGAGGAGGGCAGATGGCTGGTGATAGAGCCATAACTGTGCTGCCCAGGCTGCTCCTTCCTGGGCAGGCCCAGTAGGGTCCTGGAGCAGTGGCCCCGTGGCCAGCAGGATGCCCTGCGTGGGGCCTAATCTGGGTCTGGGCGGGGGCTCTTGTGCCCATTAGGACCCAGAATTTCCACCACTTCCTCAAGCTGGCCCTGACCAAGAACCCCAAGAAGAGGCCAACAGCTGAAAAGCTTCTGCAGGTGGGAGGCAGGGGACAGGCCTGGGACTTTATGCTCAAAAGCAGGGCCCAGAGGACAGGGACCAACCTGATGTCCCCTCATTCCTCCAGCATCCATTCACAACCCAGCAGCTCCCTCGTGCCCTCCTCACCCAGCTTCTGGACAAGGCCAGTGACCCCCATCTGGGAACCCCCTCTCCTGAAGATTGTGAGCTGGAGGTAAGGAGGGGGCGGGTTACGCTGGGAACCAGGTCTTGGCTTGAAGTAGTTATAGGTCAAGGTCCCTTTAACCTGTGTACTTGCAGCACAGAGAGCTTTCTGCTAGGTTTTTATTTTGTGTGTGTGTGTGTGTGTGGTACTGGAGTCTGAACTCAGGGCGTTCACCTTGAGCCACTCTGCAAGTCCTCTTTTGTGATGGGAGTTTTCGAGATAAGGTCTCTTGAATTATTTGCCTGGGCTGGCTTTGAACCAGGATCCTCCTGATCTCTGCCTCCTGAGTAGCTAGGGTTACAGGTGTGAGCCACAGGCAGCCAGCTCTTCCCCAAGTCTCCTATAACATCACCCTTGGACCCAGGTCAACTGTGACCATGACTAAGCCATCTTCTTGCTTTCTGTGTGACCTTTAACAAGTTACTTGACCTCTCTTATCTCACAGTAACCTCAGAGAATGTCACGAAAATAGAATACCCCATGTGTGTTAGTTACCTAGAATTCCTGGTGGGGGGTGAGTGCTGGGTGTGAGTCTTATCATTTTTCTTTCTTAGACTTATGACATGTTTCCAGACACCATTCACTCCCGGGGTCAGCATGGCGCAGCTGAAAGGACCCCATCTGAGATCCAGTGTGAGTCTTACGGCTATGTACACGTGGATTGGTGGGGCTGCTGTGCGTGCATGAATTTGGTGTCAGTGTGGGGGTCAGTCCTGAGACTAACCCCCAATCCTGTATGTACTCTGGGACCCTAGTTCACCAGGTGAAATTTGGCGCTCCACGCAGGAAGGAAACCGACCCACTCAATGAGCCGGTGAGGCGAGGGCTGTAGGAGGGTGGGGACATGGGGCTAGGGGCTCCTTCCTGGGCCAGGTTACTTTAAACAGTGGCTGAGAAGCGGAAGGGAAATAATATCTTCCTAAAAAGTGGACCTAGTGCTAGGGGAGTGGGTCAAGTGATAGAGCACTCGCCTAGCATGCATGAGGCCATGGGTTCAATCCTCAGTACCATACACACATAAACCAGCTAGAAAGTAGGCCTGTCCAAGGCCAACCCCCACCTCCCCTAGCCGTGCTTCTCTGCCTGTCACCAATCATGTTACCAGTACACTGTCTGTCTACCTGCCTGTCCTTTCCTGCCATCTTTCCTTGTTTCAGTTTTTGGATTAGGGTCTCACTACGTAGTTCAGGCTGGCCTTCAACTCATGACCTTTTTGCCTCAGCCTCCTGAGTGCTGGGATTATAGGTGTGGCCATGCAGGACTCTCCTGCTGTATTTTGTTGTTGTTGTTCCTACTGGGATTTGATCTCAGGGCCTCACACTTGCTAGGCAGGTGCTCTACCACTTGAGCCATGCCTCTAGCCCTCCTGCCATCTCTTGATTATCCTCTTAATTTTTCTCTCTCTCTCTGCCTTGGTTTCCCCTAGTGGGAGGAAGAGTGGACGCTGCTGGGAAAGGAGGAGCTGAGTGGGTGAGTGAGGAAGGGAGGCTATGGGTGGGTTAGGGGCCACAGAGAGCCTGACCTCTGACCTCTCTTCCTTCTGCCCAGGAGCCTGCTTCAGTCAGTTCAGGAGGCTCTGGAGGAAAGGTGAGTGGTGGGTGCCTTGGGTAGGGCAGGGCCACCAGGCCTGGATGCTCTTCGATCTCATGCCCATTGTACTCTGCTGTGTCCTCTGCAGGAGCCTGACCATCCGGACGGCCTCAGACCTCCAGGTGAGAACAGAGGGAGGCTGGAGCTGGGAAGCAGGAGTTTAAACAGAGGTCACAGGGTTACCTGCTAACAGCCTGACCCTCTTGCCAGGATCTGGGCTCCCCAGATGATGCCATGGGAACCATCAAGCGCGCTCCGTTCTTGGGGCCATCCCCTGCTGAGCCAACAACAGAGGACTCTCTCTCCAGCTCCCCAGGTGAGTCCCAGGTTTGGGAGGCCAAGAAGAGCCCAGGGTGGGGGCTTGGGCTAGAAGTCACTAGGTCCTGTGTCTGCAGGAACCCTGCCCCCACCTCCACCAGGCCCTGACTGCCCCCCACTGCTGCCTACTGCCTGGGCTACCATGAAGCAGCGGGAAGATCCTGAGGTGAGGGGGCCACCGAAGGGTGGGCAGTGGGCAGCAGTGTCACCTCGGCCCTGACTCTTTCCCTCCTTCCCAGAGGTCATCCTGCCATGGGCTCCCCCCAACCCCCAAGGTGCATGTAAGTATTTGCCTGTGGCCTTTGGCCTTGCTGTCCTGCTGCCTACTGCTCCAGGCTCCCTTCCCAGACACTTGCCTCCTCCACAGATGGGTGCCTGCTTCTCCAAGGTCTTTAATGGCTGTCCCCTGCGGATCCACGCTGCTGTCACCTGGATTCACCCTGTGACTCGAGGTAGGCCAGGGGCAGTGGAAAAACAAGCCAGGGAATCCTAGGCTGGAGCTGAGAGTACGACTGACCTCTGACCCTGCGCCCATACCTACAGACCAGTTCCTGGTGGTGGGTGCTGAGGAAGGTATCTACACCCTCAACCTGCACGAGCTGCACGAGGACACCTTGGAGAAGGTGAGGCTGCGGGCAGGGGTGAGGTGGGGGTGGGTGATGGAGACCCAGGGGCCTGGTCGCTGACACCTGTTCCTCTGTCTCTGTGGCCTCCAGCTGATTTCGCAGCGCTGCTCTTGGCTCTACTGCGTGAACAACGTGCTGCTATCGCTCTCAGGTAGGAGGTGGGTGGGCAGGGAGCAGCTGCAGCCTCCTCAGAGCTCAGCGCCCTGCCCTGAACTCTCCCTGAGCCGTGTGTGTCTCTCACTCCCTGGCAGGGAAATCCACACACATCTGGGCACATGACCTGCCCGGCCTGTTTGAGCAGCGGAGACTGCAGCACCAGGCGCCCCTTTCCATCCCCACCAACCGCCTCACACAGCGCATCATCCCCAGGTCAGGTCAGGTCAGGGCGCTGGGTGGCAGGGGGAGGCCAAGGCAGAGTTGACTGGATGGGGCCATGCCTGGTCCTAGGACCATTGGGATCTTTGCTGCGTCAGTTGGTCACTTGCCTTCCCTGAGCCCCAGTTTCTTCCTGGTCAATATAGCTGGTGGCCTCCTGTCCCTCCTACCCTGCTTGCTGGGAGGCTGGATGGGAAGGTACTCTGTACCTGTAGGAGCTGTGCCTGTCAGAATGCAGGGCTTTAGCTGACAGCTAAGCAGATGTCTACAGAGCACTTAGCTCTGCTGGGCCCTGTGCTGGGTGTGGCACATCACGAGTCAAGTGAGCCCCTGCCTCCAGGAAACTAGGGAGTTGTGTACCAATAGCAGGAAGTTAGTGCCTGGTGCTGAGGTGGGCCTGGAGGGAGAGCCTGGGGGTGGAGGCTGCAGAGACCCAGACAGCTCAGAGTCTGAGAGTGTGTGATTTCTGAGCCAGGAACAGCATTCAAGGCAGAAGAGCAAAAGCAGGTGGGGTGAAGCAGCCCAAGACCTGGGGAGCTCCACAGTGTTTGGCTGAGGGCTGAGGAAGTTGCACAGGTGGCCGAGCCCTTCCTCTGCTGCCAGACTCAGGACTTGGGTTTTGTCCAGTAGGCAGCAGCACCGTCAGCATTTTAAAAGGATTGTTCTGTGTGCTGGTCAGGATTCTTTCTGCTGTAGGTGATTGAACTCATTGGCATAAGAGCTGGGTGTGGTGTGCATGCCTGAAATCCCAGCACTTGGGAGACTAAGGCATGAGGATCAAGAATTCCAGGCCATCTTGGGCTACATAGTGAGCTCCTGTCTCAAAACAAACAAAGACTCATTGGCTTAAGCACAGAAGGGAGGTTAGCGGGTCCTATGGCTGAAAGTTCAGGAGTAGGCTTAGCTTCAGGCTTAACTGGAAACAGACTTTAGTGGCTCCTTCAGGAATTGTTCTGTGTCTCTGGGTCCTATTGTCTCTTGTCTTTGCTGTCACTCAGACTTTCTTGTGAACTGAGGCAGCCTACAGTGGAACTAGAACCTCCATTTCCAAGTCATCCCCACAAAAGTCCCAGGGCTAACTCCCATTGGTCCAGCTGAGGTGCCTTCCCACCCTGGAGTCAGTCACTGGGGCCTGGGGGTGAGGCGCTCTGACATCCAGGCCTGGGTCATATGCTGTCTCCTAGGAGCTGGGGAAGGGAAAGGATGGCTCATGGCCCTGTCCAGAGGGACATCTTGGCCCTCTTATTGAAAAGATGCTGGGGACTGAAGGTGTGGCAAGTGTCAGGTTGTGAGTTCAAACCCCAGTACTGTTTAAAAAAAACAAAGAAAAAGAGAAGCAATACTGGGCATCTGCTGGCCGGCTGTGGTGGACAGTGGGAAGGTGAACTGGAGGAGGGGAGTTGACAAGAGGGTGCCTGGAAGGGAGACCAATACAGTGGCCTAAGGCCATGCATGGGGTTAAGCTGCAGCATGGTGAGAACTTGCCAGCCAGACCAGTACTTCCAAAGTGGAATAACAGGGTCTGGGAATCGGCTGGAGTGAGAGGAGGGCTCAGACTATAGACATGTCCTGTGGTTTGTGAGGTCTGGGCCACATCAGTCGCTCAGTGGGTAACTGTGTGGTACCCCATGTGTGCTGGGCAGTGTTCCATGCACTAAAGGAACCCTGTCCCTTGTCATCATGTCAATTGTTTATGGAAGGAAACAGATAATACTGGACTTGGAATAAGGAAGCTATTCAGTGGTAATGGCTTGAGGTGTCCTCCATGAATGAGAGGAAAAGGAGGAAGGAAAGGAGGACCAGCCACTGAGACACAGACTGTGGCTTTTAACAGGTACTCAGAAACACTTTGCAGAGAAAGTGCTGTTTGAGCAAGGATTAGAGAGGCCTGGGGGTGTAGCTCAGTGATAGAGAGCTTGCCTAGCATGTGTGAGGCCATGGGCTCCATCCCCAGCACTGCAATAATAACAGAAGACTTAAGAAGTGGTGACAGAGTTAGCCAGCCCTGTGGATATTCAGGGAATGCCATCCAAGCAGGAGACATGGCCAGTGCAAAGGCCCTGGGGCAGAAGTGGGCCTGGCCTGCTTAAGAAACAGCAAGAAAGTCAGTGTGGCAGAATCTGATGGAGTGAGGACATGACTGGGGAGTGCCTGTGGCCACAGGGAGGCCTTTGGCTTTGACTCAGTGGGGGGAAGCTTGGGAGGGGCAGGGCGGGTCTTGGGCACTGCTGAGGTTAGCTAATAAATGGAGGACAGAGTGACTGGGAAGCTTCAGAAGGCTGTTGCAGTGGTCAGGTGGGGGGTGATGGGGGGGCAGGGTAGCAGTGGAGACAGTGAAATTGGTCTTGTTCTGGTTCTGTTTTGTTAAGTAGAGCCAACAGGATTTCCTGGTGATAGGTGGTGGGTGGAAGAGAAAGGGGAGTCAAGGTTGACCCCAGGCTTCTGGCCTGGGCTGCGGGAAGGATGGAGCTGTCATCAGCTGGGGGTGGAGTGAGCCTCAAAGGGAGCTGAATTTAATTTTGTTACATTAAGATGCTTTTTCAGTGTGTAAATGCAACCTTCCTCCATCCACAGCTGGAAGGGCTGGAGCTCCTAGGAAAGGGGCTGGGTTGTGGACTCAGGTGTGGTGACCAGGTTGGGGGGAGTGGAAGCCAGGGATGGGCAGGGAGAAGGACAGGCCAGCACTGTACCTGAGCGTGGTCCCCAGGCCAGTCTCTGCTTGGGCCCAGGACCTACAGGAAGCTGGCAACCAAATCCCCAGCAAGTCACGGGGAGCCATGGCCTGTGTCTGAGAAATCAGTTACAGCATCTACTTTGAACCTAAAGTAGTAAACCCCAGAATTATTTGGAAGGAAAACCAAATATAAATGTATATGCCACCGTCCTACCCGAAGGCCAGCTGGGAAGAGAGTGGGAGGATGAAGGAGGGCAGAGGACAGAGAGGGGCAGACGCTGGCTTCCTTCCAGGGCCCTCATCCTGGCAGAAGTACAGACAGGCACTGAGTCACTGGGAAGAGGTGGCGGGGCTGACATACAGCCCTTTTCCCTTAAGGGAGAACCAGGCTCAGAGGGTCCCCTGGAGTGTTAGGGTGCTCCCTGTAACCAGGGCAAGCCACCCACTGGCCCCATAGGGCTGCAGCCCCAGCCAGACCGGGTGGCAGAGGGCAGGTGGTTGCTGTTTGGAGCCTTTCCACTCCCAGGCCTGTTTGTGCATCTGAGATGGACTGAGAGTGCTCTGTGCAGCCTGGTGAGCTGGACTGCCTCAGCTCCTGGCCTCCACTCACTTTCTTCATCTGCCTTTGCCTAGAAGAGTTGCAATGACTTCAGATAGGAGAAAAAGTAATACCAAGTAAAAGTTCTCGTATTAACTCATCTCACTGTCATTGTAACCATGAGGTGGGCACTGCCATTATTCCCATTCTACAGATGAGGAAATTGAGGTACAGAGAGGGGAAGCAACTTGTACAGAGTCATACAGAGCTGGGTGTAATTCTGTGTTCCAAACCTCTGGACCCCACAGAGCTGCTCCAGGCCAGAGAGCCATGAGGCAGCTATAGACCCTTTGCCCCTTGCTGCTGTTACGGGCGAGTTACTTTGCCTGTGTGCCTTGCTCTCTCACCTGTAAAGTGGAAAGGAGATAGTGGTCACCTTACAGGGGTCTGGGGGACCTTGCCCATGGGTGTCTCCCAGGACACATGTCCTCTTGTTATCCCTTCAGGCGCTTTGCCCTGTCCTCCAAGATTCCCGACACTAAAGGCTGCCTGCAGTGTCGCGTGGGTAAGAGCTGGTAGAGCAAGACCTGGTAGGGTGGGATGCAGGCTGAGCCCCTTTTCACTGCCTGCTTCTCCCACAGTGCGGAACCCCTACACAGGTGGCACCTTCCTGCTGGCCGCCCTGCCCACCAGTCTGCTCCTGCTGCAGTGGTACGAGCCACTGCAGAAGTTCCTGCTGCTGAAGGTGAGGGGCGGTGGGGGAGCCTAAGTGGACCTTCAGGAAGGTGGCAGGGGGCCTGAGGCAGAATCAGAGACCAGCATCCCTACTGCCCCCAGAACTTCTCCAGCCCCCTGCCCAGCCCAGCTGGGATGCTAGAGCCATTGGTGCTGGATGGGAAGGAGCTGCCACAAGTGTGTGTGGGCGCTGAGGGACCCGAGGGGCCTGGCTGCCGTGTCCTGTTCCACATCCTTCCCTTGGAGGCTGGTCTGACACCTGACATCCTCATCCCGCCTGGTGAGCAGAAGGGTGGACTGCTGGGAGTGGGCTTGAGAGAGACAGAGAGAGGGAAGGAGGCAGGGGCGAGAGGCTGGGGTCACAAACCATGGCTGCACAGAGACCTTGCGGCCCAAGGGCTGTTGAGGGGGTCTGGAACTCTCAGCCTCTGTTCACTGGGCTTCCATGAAAGAGTTCAAGACCAGGCTGGGCATGGTGGTGTAGACTGGATTCCCAGCCACTGGGAGGCTAAGGCAGAAGGATCATTTGAGCCCAGGAATTGGAGGTCAGCCTGGGCGATGTAGGGAAATGCATTCTAAAAAACAAACAAACAATCAAAGAAAAACAAAGGAAAAAAGTAGACTTAAGTGGGCCAAAGGGTTTGCCAGCCAAAAAAAATCTGGCTGACAGTGCTCAGGCCAGGCAGGGATTGGAGTCCTCCCCTGGAAAAAGGAAGTAGGAGCCGGGCACTGGTGGCTTACACCCATAATCCTAGCTACTCAGGAGGCACAGGCAAATAGTTCAAGAGACTCTATCTTGGAAAAACCCATCACAAAAAAGGGCTGGTGGAGTGGCTCAAGGTACAGGCCCCATTATGGCAAAAAAAAAAAAAAAAACCAAAAAACAGGACGCAGGCTGTGGGGTCAGCTTGGGTAGTGGGTACAGGGGAGAGAAGGTGCGTGTGGATAAGGCCCTCTTGGGCATCAGACCTGGGACCACACCCTGGTCTACAGGAGTGCATTCTCGAGTGTCACAGTAGCCCTGCAAGGTGGGCATTGCCATGTTTCCAGTGAGGAAACTGAGTCTCAGAGAGGTAAAATGATTTGTTCCAGGTCACTTGGGGACTGAGTCAGCAGCTGGGGTTGCCCAGCTCTGGAGCTTTCCCTCTTTCCCTGTTCTCAACAGACCTGAGGCAGGTTCCTTATTCTCTCTGTGACTAAGTGTCCCAACCCCTCAGGGCTGCTGTAAGGCTAAAATGCCCTGGTGGCCAAGGGGCCAAGGACTTGCTGTCACATGGCCCCCATGTACTCTGGGGGCTCAGCTAGGTCCTGTCTCCTTTCTCTGTCCACAGAGGGGATCCCAGGCTCTGCCCAGCAAGTAATCCAGGTGGACAGGGACACAGTCCTGGTCAGCTTTGAACGTGAGTGCCCCTGGAATGGGGGAGCAGGGGAGCCACGTGGGTCTGCCTTCCCAGAAGGGAACCACCCTGTCCCCACCCACCAACCTTCTCCCTGTGCAGGCTGTGTGAGGATCGTCAACCTGCAGGGGGAACCCACAGTCACACTGGCCCCCCAGCTGACCTTTGACTTCCCCATTGAGACTGTGGGTGAGTGAACCAGAGTCGGGGCATGGTCCTGTCCCTAGCCCAGAGTACGCAATGTGGCCCATAGGCCTGAGGTTGGCAGTAGGGGAGCCATCCTGGTCACCCAAGGTCAGTAAGGACCCCTGTGGCCAGACCTGGGGCTGGCTGGGGCTGGCTCCCTAGCTCCTTGGGCAGCTGCCGTGCTGATGGAGCCCCCTCCTCCCCAGTGTGCCTTCAGGATAGTGTGCTGGCCTTCTGGAACCATGGCATGCAAGGCCGCAGCCTGGACACTAACGAGGTGAGTGGGGCTCAGGGACCTGGCCACCCTGCTCCTCTGTCCCTTCCTCTTTGGAGAGGACCTGCTGGAGTGGTCTCAGTGCCCCTGGTCTTCCAGGTGACCCAGGAGATCACAGACGAGACAAGGATCTTTCGAGTGCTGGGCGCCCACAGGTAGGTGGTAGTGCCCCTACCTCCTGCTCAGATGCCTGTGAAACCAGGTCAGGGACACCCTGCTCCTGCTGCCTTGCTCACCTGTGTCTCTCTCCTCACCAGAGACATCATCCTGGAGAGCATTCCCACTGACAACCCTGGGGCGCACAGCAACCTCTACATCCTCACCGGCCATCAGAGCAGCTACTAAGCAGCCCTATCTGCCCCCAGGCCATAGCTGTGGCCCTTCTGGGCAAAGTTCAAAAGAGCCAGGCCCTGCTCTGCTGGGGTTGGAGGGCAGAAATAATCCTGAGAAGTGTTGGGGGCTGGGAAGGGGAGGGAGCCCACCCCCCCTCAGCAATAACTGGACCCGAGAAGCTGCTTCCATCTCCCTTCCCCACAGGCAGCCCCATCCCTAGTGCAGGGTACCCCAGGCAGGAAGGGGGCCACCCCACTGATCCATTCCATTTTGTTCTACCTTTCCACTCTTTCTGCCTGGGGTCTGCCCTGGCTCTGCCCTAAGGAACATGTATTTAAAAGAGAGAACTATATTGTATTAAAGTTGGTTTTATCCTACTGGTCCCTGTGGGGCTAGGGAACAGAGCCCCTGCCTCCTCTCCCTCCTTCCCTCTCTCCTCACCTTTCAGTGTTCTCAGGATAGGTGATGGAGGCTAGGAGCCCCAGCAGCTGACTCAGGGGCCTGTATTTTTCCAGTTCCTCTACCCAAAGCACCTCTCAGCTTTACAGTTTGAGAGCTTTGTTGTAGTTCAGCACCCCAAAGACCCACGTGGGGGACCATGAACAAAAGGACTCATCCAGGGCAGCCTTGCCCCATAGAGGACCTGGTCTGTGGCCTGTGGGTGGCTCCTCATTCCCAGCCCCAAGGGGGATGCTCCCATGGAACCAGCTCACTCTGACCATGACCAGGGGCTGCTCCCACCAACCACAAACACACTGTCCTGCAGCAGGCCTGGAACAATACAGATGGATGGGCAGGTTCAACTGGAAGGTGGGCTTGGGTGCATATAACAAGAACTTCAGAGGTACTCCATTTGGTGCCAGGGCCTGGGGTCATGACCAAGGTACAGACCAGCCCCCAGGAAGGGGCTGTTCTTGTAGAAGTCTGCACTTGGGGCACATCTGTCCTCCTGTAGTTCAGCTTCTATTTACCTAGAAGTAAATAGGGGACTCCTTCCACAGTCCCCCAGCAGAGGGCTCAGAACTCTCAGGCCAGGGATCTCTCTGCAGCCCCAGGTTCTTAACCTGAACCTTTGAACAGGGGAGGCCACAGAGACAGGATGAAGTTTGCCCCAAAGGAGGGTGGGGTGCACAGAGCAGGCTGGGTCTGGGAGGCTGGCATGTCCAGGGAGAGCTACAGCAAAGGCCTAGGACGAGGGCTCCAGTCTGGCCCATCACTATCCTGGACATTCAAAGAAGTGTTGGCGGGCCAGCAGGAAATACTCAAGTGAAGCCATGAGTGGGTCGGGGAAGATGGCGGCTCATGTGAACATACTCCTGGCCCTTGTGGGCGTCATTGTCCTGTTGTCTGCCCTCCTGCAGAGCCCTGACTGCTCTGTTTCCAGTGACCAGAGCCAGACCAGGGAACATATCCTTGTCCCCATTGAGACCCAAGGAGAGTGAGGTACCTTCCAAGCTCTGAAGGCTTATGCCCATCCGGAGGGTACCTGGTGGGCTGAATTGGGCGGTGGGGAGGTGTTAAGGATACAAAGTGAATTCCTAGCTCTCAGCTTCCCAGATTTCTTGGAGGAATGCTGGGTGGAGGCAGGAGTAGGAAGGTGAGTTCCACTAGACAACAGCCCAGGACCCTGGACCCCAGGCGCCCTGGCCAGGGGAAAATTGAGCAGCAGGCAGCAGACAGGGCCACCTTGTGGCAGGTCATCCAGCCCTGAGGTCCCATCTGAAGAAGGGACTTGGAAGTGCAACCCACCAAAGGGGGGAAGGGGAAGAGGGGGAGGGGGGAGGACGATGACTGTGAAAAGCTGGGGCTTCCGGTAGTGTTTGCTGCCAGCAAGGGCAGGCCATAAGCCAAAGAAGGGGCACAAAGCCAGGGAATCTATACTGAAAGACTAAAACTAAATTTTATTTATGTATTTGTTTATACATAGCCCTTACTCAAGGTACATACTTTTCATATACAAAAGATATAATGAGCCAGCATTGGTGGAACATGCCTATAATCCCAGCACTCAGGAGGTAGAGGGAGGAGGATCATGAGTTCCAGGCCAGTCTGGGCTGCACAGCAAATTTGAGGCCAGCCTGGACTATATAAGTGAGCTCCTGTCTCAAAAATAATTAAATAAAAATTAAAAAGTCTCCCAGTAATCCTAGCTACTTGAGAGGCTGAGATCAAAAGGACAGCGATTCAAAGCCAGCCCAGTAGTTCAGAAGACACCCTCCCCCGTCTCCAAAATAGCCAGAGCAAAATGAACTGGAGGTGTGGCTCAAACAGTAGAGCACCTGCTTTGGAAGCTCGAGGCTTTGAGTCCAAGCCCCGGTCCCACTAAAAAAACAAAGTCTCTTACGCCTGACTCCAGCCACCCAAGTACTAGTTACTTAAGAATACATCCAGTGGTATTTATGTACATTTAAGCAATTTGCATACTTTATACACGTCATAACAAATTCCACACATTACACTGATCTTGCCTTTTTAAAATATGTCCTGGAGATCTTTATCAGTGTTGCCCTTTGGGTTTCTTTCTTTTTTTTTTTTTTTTTAAGTGGCTAGTGGTGGTCCAGTTGCATGGAGCTCCTGTTGATGAACTGTAACTACATCCTTATTGATGGGAATTCTTGTTTCTACTACTTCAATATTACCAACGATGCTGCAATAAACATTCTGATGCCATGTCACTCTGCATATTCAAGTGTTTCTGGAGGATAAATTCCCAGAAGTAGCATTGCTGGGTCAGGGGTGGCTGCATTTGCCATGGTGACAAATTGTTCTCCACGGTCAAAACTTGTGGGGTGGGGCAAACTGGCCAATTTAAGTTATTCTTGTGGATAAAGAGAAGGGACCTGGGCATCCCAGATGTCAGGGAAGTGGCCTATACCCAGAGTACACCTGGCAGTGCCAGCTCTGATGATGACTCACATTCTTGTAGGTGGACAGGAGGCCTCTACAGTGGGAAGGAATGAGAGTGGGGTGGGAGCAGCCAAGTTCCCTTAGAGTTTACCATACCCTAAGCCAAAGCAGGGCTGTCCAGAGGACAGGAAGTGCTGTAATGCATTTAATGCAAGAGCACAGATGAATCCACTATTAGGAAACACCTCCCAGCCCGCGATACTTCTGACAAGTTTAAAGGAGGATCTTGGCTGTCTCCTCATTTGCTTCTCTGGAGGACCCAGGAGCCCTCTGGAGGATGGTGGGGAGCTCCTGTGCTGGGGATGGAACCCAGGGCCTCAAACCATGCCCAGCAAGTGCTCTGCCTGAGCTACTCCCCACAGCCCGCTTCTCAAATTTTAATAGACCTAGTTCATTACACTGTATGAAAACTTGTCACCTAGAAAGCATCAGTTTTATTGCAAAATTTTACACAGGAACAGCCCAGAACACTGGAAAGAAGTCTAAATCAAAAGCTGAGAGCCCCATGTTCTGCTCTTCTATCAGTAAGCTTTGTGATTTTGGTAAAGTCACTTATTTTTTGGCTCTCCATTTCATAATCACTAAAATTGGAGGGTTAGAATATGTCACTGAGACCTTCCCAGCACCAATGTCATCTATTATGCTTTCCTCCTGAGGGGTCAACTGTGCTGAGAGAATGGAGTTTTGGAACTTTTTTTACTTACTTTTTATTAGCATATATTAATTGTACAAAGTAATGGGTTTCATTGTGACACTCCTACATGACCCTTTCTTATCCCCTCCCCCTTTGCCCTTCCTCATTCCTGATAGCCCCCTTGTACTTTCATGTCCTCTCCTCCAATTCTTGAGAGAAAACAGGAGATGGTCTGAGTCTGACTTATTTCACATAACATGATGTTCTCCAGTTCCATCCGTTTTCAGGCAAACAATATTCTTCTCTATGGCTGAATAAAAGTCCATTGTGTATATATATTTAAAAACAGCTTTATTAAGACATAACTGGCAATACAATAAGCTGCAGATGTTAAACAATGTGCTGTCTGAGCTGAGTTAGGAGTCCTGCACCTGTGATGCCAGCACTTGGACGCTGAGGCAGGAGGATCACTTGAGCTCAGGAGCTAAGAGACCAGCCTGGATAAGAGAGTGAGATTTTGTCCCAAAACAACAAATGCCCTTAATAGGACAATAAACAAACATGGTTTTCAGGAGAAAAAATACTAGGGAAAGTACTTGGTGCATGAAGGGTGCTCATTTCATGACGTATATTATCATTCTTAATTTGGGGATGGAATCATGGAGGGAGTGGCTTTCCAATGGTTGGACACAGAAGAAACAGACCCCCTTCATCCAGCCCTGGCCAGCCAGATGACAGGCCTCCCAATCCTACCCAGGGGCTCAGCTTCTGAACTCTCACGTGTACAGATAAAGACAATGGCAGGGTTTGGCGGGAATGGGCCAGGAACTTCTTGCCCTTTGCATTCTAACAGCAATTATTTGACACCAACTGGGTGTCCAGTCATCGAGTTCATTCAGACAGTAACTGGCTCATCACACTTCAGAATGGCTTGCAAATGTAAACGTGTACTTCTGGAGTTTTCCACTTACTTTATTTCTTAATAAATTTTTATCAGGATATATTCATTAGATGGGGGGGTTCATAGTGACAATTCCAGTTAGACTTATATTGTAATTAGTTACATTGCCCCATTGTCTCCCCCTCAATCCCCTCTTAAAGCAACTGCATATAGGTGTATGAAGTCCATCAACCATATACTCTTGCCTTTATCTCCTTCCTTCTCCCTCCCGTCCCACATGTACCCCCCCACACTGTACCTATTTTACAGTTCTGTTTTTTTATTATTAATATTTAAGTTGATGTTCAAAGGGGTGTCTCAATGTGTGCCCACTGTGGGTGCTCTTTACTTTGGTCCATTCAACCCCTTCCATTACTCTCCCTTACCCCTTTACCTCCCACCCCACTTTTCAACAGCTTTCAATACACATCCTTGTATCTTCTACCTTCACATCTTATGTTTTACGATACGACTGATGTGCTATCATTCTCTCTTCCTTCCCATCTTTCCCTGAGTTCCATACAGTAGTTCTGAACTACCTGGAGTTAACACACACCCAACAGGTTAAGGACTCAGCAGCAAGTCCCTGGTTTCTGGGCTACCTGCACCTCTGTCCAACTTGGCTACAAATTTTGCGCTCCTGTGACTCCCTTCAAGTTCAATAAACACAATGATACCCAGAAGTTAGGAGAGCACCATATTTATGATTATGACTATTATAAAGGATCCCTAGGACAGCAGGAGCCAGAAGGAGCCTAAGCCCAGGGGCTTCTGTTCCTTGCAGTCAGGATGCACCACCCTAGCAGCACATCGGGTTTCCCAACTTGGAACCTCATTAAGGTCTAACTAGCAGTCATGATCGAGTAAATCATGGGTCACGCGACTGAACTTGATCTCCAGCTCCCTCCCTTCCCCAGCTAAAAGATGACTTTTTTTTTTTCTTTTGGTGACGGGTCCCATCCTGAACCTGCCTCAGGACTCTCAAGTGACGCTGGCACTTCATCACTTTTGTCACCTTTGATTTAGGTATGGTCCAAAGAGGCTCACCATGAATAATGAAGTACACACAAATCACTCAGGAAATTTCAAATGTTTGAAGTTCTATGCCAGGAATGGGAGATACAGGCCAGATATGTAACTTTTTCTTCCACCAAACCCTTCTATTAAATCAGATGCAGCCCATGGCTCATGTCTGTAATCCTAGCTACTTAGAAGGCTGAGATCAGGAGGATCACAGTTTGAGGCCAGCAGGGAAAATAGTTCATGAGAAACCCATCTCCAAAGTAAGGAAAGTAAAATGGACTGGAGGTGTGGCTCAAGATGAAGAGCACCAGCTTTGGAAGTGGGAAGCTCTGCAGTCCCACAAAAAATCAGGGGCATCTGTGTCTGAAATCTATGCATAGTTCTGGCCCCAGAGATCTCCTGCTCAGGAGATACCCCACTAAGACCACCGTGCCCTCCATCTCACAGAATCAGCACAGCACAGGCTAGACAATCAGGGTGTATCGGCCAGCCAGCATACGTATTCTACAGAGACCCTAGGAAAGCTTAAATGGCCTCCCTAGTTGCCAGCTGGTGGACAGCAGGAGCTGGCCCAGGTGTGCTCCAACTGGATTCAAGGCACAAGAGTTTGCTTAACAGTCCTCAACCAGGAGCCTTGCAGAGTGGATTCCAATACTGTTCTTCCCAAATAAGGAGCCTTGTATAGGAACAAACTGTGTTACCCTGGGGCGATTATTCAAAATCTCTAGGTTTCAGTTTCGTTTATAAATTAGAAATACAGTAGTCTCCCTTATCCACAGGAACCATGTTCCAAACACCCAGTGAATGCCTGAAGCCACTGATAGTACTGAATCCTACATTTTTTCTCCTATACATGTACATGTATGCTAAAGTTTAATTTATAAATTAGGCTCAGTAAGAGGTTATTAGCAACAAAATAGCGCAATTACAACAACAAACTGTACTGTAATAAAATTGCTAGTACTTGCCCTTTGGGGCCATGATTAATTAAGATAAGGGCTACTTGAATACAAGCACTGCCATACTGCAACCCCAATCTGATCACCAAGGTGATGAACTAACAGGTGGGTAGCATATACAGAATACAGACGCTGGACAAAGGCATGATTCATATCTGGGGCAGCATGGTGGGACATAGTGAGATTTCCCAGCACTACTCAGAATGGAATGCATCTTTAAACTCATAAATTGTTTATTTCCGGAGTTTCCCAGTTCATGTTTTCAGATCACGG